TGCCGGTCTTCATAGGTGCTCGCTAACAGCACTTGTCCCAACAGTCTGTTAAGGCTATACGGGGGATCTTTGTATTTGGCAGCACCGACGGCTTTGTGGTGTGCGAGGAGGTGAAGGACACCCTGCTGGCCGCTTGGGAGAGAGCGCAAGAGGAGGTGGAAAAGAAAGAGAGAGAGGTGAGACCCAGACGTTGCCCAGCACCGAGGACGTTAACCCCGGCCTGTTGAGGACCCTCCCTCGTCAGAGACTCTGCAGTTCCCTTGCTCCTCCGTTTCCTCGCAACGTGGGAGTTCTCTCCCATTGTCCAGTCTACCAGGAGTGAGCACGGATCACAGATAAGAAGCTCTTGGAACCTCACCGTTGTAAGCTCGCTGCACAAACTGGCTCAGACTCCAGGATGGGAACTGGACATCTGCCGCTGCCGGTAACCGGGTCCAGGCCTTCGGGCTGGAGACCCCGGTGACGCTGCGTCGGCCGTATCGCTGCGTCGAGTTTGCGCTGCGCGGGTCAAGCAGCGGCAAAGCAGCAGCGGTCGCGGCTGATCACCGTGGGCCACGGATCGTAGACGGCGTCTGTTGGGGTCCGTTGAGGCCGGTGCTACTCACTGTCCGGCAAGTTGGGGCCGAGCAAATGAGTGTGGACTCTTGCAGACGAGCAGTTGTAGTCCGACATACGGGCAATATCGTTGCCTCCCCATTAGGGACAGATGAATGAATGGACGGGGGGACAGGTAAAATCGATGCATAAATGCCTGAGATTGATCCGAGATTAGATTGGGAGGCGGTGGGGCGATCGGAGTGTTGGGGCGATGGCGTCGTGCTCACGCGGTGCACGTGAGAAGTCTGGAAATGGCGATGTAATCGGTTGTCGTCGTCGTCCACGCTTTGTGTCGTTCAGAAGAGAGAGAACCGCGCTTTTGGAAACTGGAAGCTGCTGACCAGGGGACTGCTCATCAGGGAGCGGTTAAAGCTGCGTTACTCGGCTAACGTACGTCGGCTCACGCCGCACTCGCCTCACCACACTCGTCACACTCGCCGCATTCGCCACGCTGACAGCAGTCACCTCGCTCACCGCCGTCATCTTACCGCAATCATCATACTCACCACAGCCACCTCGCTGCAGTCACCTCACTCACCCATGCTCACCACACTGACCATGCTCACCTCCGTCACCACGCTCATCACGCTCACCACACTCACCATGTTCGCTACATCGTACGGAGTCTGGCTCGGTGTAGCGTCCTTGTCTGCATTGTCTCATTCTGCCTCTGTACTATCCCATTCGTATTGTCTCGTTATGTCTCCTTTGCATTGTTTTAACCTATTTCGTTTATACTCTCCATCTCATTTGTTTCCTCTCGCTCTACGCCCTTTGTCTAATCAAGCGGTGAGCGCCTTTGATCCTGAAACGGGGTGGCTACGTGACGTTCGCGCGACGTTCACGCGATGTCGTTGTCTTTTTTCCGTCCTCCAGGAGCCCGGCTCCACACAGACAACGCAGGGCGAGGAAGGCACGAGCCAGGTGGCCAAAAACCCGGGGGTCACCCCCGCCGACGACCTGGCAGTGGCCTGGCCAGACTTCAAAGAGCGGACGCGGTCGTCTGTGAAACGAAACCAGGGGGTGGGGCGGCGTGATCGCCAGGGCCAGAACTCTCACTTGTTTCCCTTCGAGAAGCTCTAGAGCGAGGAGTGGGACCTTACCCCCCCCCCCCCCCCCACCGGCGCGTGGGCCACACTCGGGCCACTCAACTTCACTTAATTCGCCCCGCGGATTTTTTTCGTGTGACGTGGACCACAGCCGAACGAGGATCGCCACTTGGAAACGGCCCGCAGATGATAATTAGCTCACGCTCATCATCTGCTGGAAGGGAATGTTTCAAACCTGGCAACATAGCACGATCGGCGGGCTTCTGCCACTGCACTGGCCTGACTATGAGGTGTGTGTGTTGATGATTTTGTATGTCCGATGAAGAGCAACTACAGGTCTTCCTCACTCTACATGTGTTCGGTTTGTGCAACTTGGCGTTGGAAATGCGGCTAACCTATTTCTACCCAAAATTCGCTCCGTGCGATTCGAATTCACTCATGTGCGACGGCTATGCGGTCAGACGTGGGCAAGCAGCTGTCTCGTGCGCTACATTGCGGGTTGGGTGACTGCGGTCCGTGCGACTGCGGTCCGTGCGACTGCGGTCCGTGCTATGGGATTATGCTTTGTGCGCCCCTTTTTTTTTAATGAATCGACAGTGTAAAGCGAGGGAATTCAGTTGCAAGTGATTGAGCCATTGAGTTACATTGTCTGGTAGTCGGTAAATTGCAGACAAACCGTCTGAAAGTTTATGTTTGCGGTAGTGGCAAAGTTATGTTCTCCGTGCTTCTATGTTCTTAGCTGCAGTCGCACAAAGGAAATTATTTTATTCTCCACGTTTGTGTGTGTGTGTTAATGTGCCCGATATTTGAAAGGCCTGCTTTGCTCTCGGGGATAGGATTCCCGACTGCCGCTCTCCAGGCATGCGCTCACAGCTCTTCTGATCCTCGCCACTGCGAGCAGGGGACCCCTCGTGGATTTTCGTTGCCTCGCCACTGCAAGGAAGATTGTGCCTTCGCATCGTCCCGCGGAATTCCTCATTGAAGGCGCCACAAATCGGGGGTCCTGCTAAACCTTGGGTCGACGAGGGGCCTCGTTACTTCCTTGAATATTTCCTGGGTCGCTGGAAAACTGGAGCAGGTGGCACGAGTAGCCACAGTCAGAGCGAGAGGTATACTTGATGTGGTGTGCCGGGCACGTAAAAATTTTCAAGGTCGCCTACCCTGTGTGGAACTAACTAGGAATGTCGATCAATATCGAATCTAGGGCTCGCCATGCATGCATTGATCCTCGTATCTAATAACTGATACTGTTGCAGTCACGTGGTGTATACGCCTCCGACTAAATCACCCCAAATGTACCTGTTGATCAAGTCAGATGTCAAAAACTAAGCAGCGCTGACCCTGAACAGGACTTTGGTGAGCGGCCACCTTGCATAAATCAGGTTATAGGCTGCTGTGGGGCTACCTCGTGGGCAGAAGGAGACAGCGCAGCAACATTTATTATCGTACCGCGCCGAGGAGCGTGAGGTGTGGTCACGGTAACCCCCAACGCGACCCGCACGGCCGTGGTGGAGCCGCTCATCCAGCAGTGGATCAACAAGAGGTCCGTACGTGCGAATGTACTGTACCGGTGTTCCGTGTTCACGTGACCCACGCAGCCAATTAGATGCTGCTACCGTTCACCGCAGCATTACAAAAAATACTCAAAATTTATTTGCGATTCAAATCGTAACGGTGAATCGGTGATCACCCATCGAATGGGCGGAGGGGAAAGTCATTTCACCCCCCCCCCCAGTCACAAACTGATGGCCATTGGCATCGGTCCCTCGTGTGTTTTGTGTCAACTCGGGAGTTCTCGATGGATTTTTTTTAAATTTATGCGGCATTTGTTATTGGTTTGTGCTTTTTGTGTGCTTTGTTTTCATACTTTATTTAAAAACGACAAAAAATATGCAACAATGATTACTATGTCCCGAGTCCTTTGTTCAGATGCGGTCGTGTACTTGACGTAGGCGCTCATTCACGGGCAGGGTCATCTCAGTTATTTCCACAGCCGGTAATGTCATTTAACTTTTTACATGACAATAGGAAGTATAAAATGAATGTAAAAAACGTGTTAAACACCACCGAATCCACGTTGCAGTGCCACAGGAGTTTGTGTTTGGTGTAGAGTACGGAACTTAAAGAGTGGGGACCTCCTGGTATTTGACGTTTCAGCGCAGGGTGGAGACGCAGCTGTCAGAAAAGCGGCTTTACTTTATGTTTCGCTTTTCGAGCATCAGGAAGTGAGAGGTGTTACATTTTATTCCCATGTTTTACCTTCAATGTTTATGCCCCCCCCACCACCACCATGTATCGAGGATATTTTAATTGGCGCGGAAAGGGGGACAGAAGGGAAGTATAAAATTTTCAGAATTAAAACGAGCTACCTGAGCGGTACAGAGCAACTGAGAAGAGATGCCTTCCATCAATCACCGTAAGAGGTAGAATAATTTCTGCTTTGCGAATCCAGCAGTTAAATCCAGTTTCCTGCAGTTTGCCCAGGACATGATTTCAGCCTCCCAAGACGAGCCAGATTTCATGATGATGAGAATACATCTTTGGTGCTGGGTGGTGTTGGTTTCCATGCAGAATCAATATTATTTAGATGGGATGAATCCGATGAGCTATAAAGCTCTTTTTCACAGATGGTGGCGTGGCATGGTTGGCATGGGCCCTGGTGAGAGGATGGAAATGGGTGCCCGCCTTGTCCCATTCTTCATGTTTCTACCACATGGACCCCTCTTTTATCACGTGGGCCCAGATGCAATTGCGTCCCATGCACACTCAGTAGCTCAGCCACTTGGTCTATGGATCTCTATGCACATAATCTCTAAATCTTCTGTCCGTTTCAGCGGTCACCTCTGCCACGGAATAGTGCCAGGACACCCTTCACTTTTAGAACGGTATGACTACGGTGCGAAAAAAGTGCAACAATACAATGGGGCCCCTATTCAATTTCAGCGGTCACCCCTGCCATACCGTACAAACATACACAGGCATCTAGCAAACAGACAGCTGTCTACCGAAAGTGGTATTCCTCTGTCTGGCTACGCTGCCTGCCTGTATGCCGTCTGTCTTATCAACAATTCTCTATCCACTGCTGGATGCAGCCCCCCCCCAACAATATAATGTCCAATTTAAGCGGCCACCCCTACCACAGGACGGAGCCAGGCCACCCTGCACCTCCGATTAGCACGGTTGGCCACGTACGGCGCAAAATAAGTTCAACATGCATACTTATTATGTTATTGTTTCCCTTCTACGTGACTTTACCGAAAGAACCAAGAATATACAGACTTAGGTTAAACGCTCTCTTGGCTCTGACCCCAGGTGACCCCTTTTCAACGTTAGCCCCGCCCTTCTTTATTTTAGCCCCGCCTCCCCCCACCCACGTGACGTCACGTCCGTTTCCGGCACGTGCAGCAGGGCAGCAGCATGGCTCCCAAACCTCGCGGGGTCGTGGCGATGGCGCGGGCGGCTGTCGGCTTCATCTCGGATCGCCAAGACTTCAAGAGGTGCGAGACAGCGGGGAGGAAGGCACAGGGGAGACTGGTGCAGACACAAGAAGGCGTGGACACAGGGGAGACTGGTGCAGACACAAGAAGGCGTGGACACAGGGGAGACTGGTGCAGACACAAGAAGGCGTGGACACAGGGGAGACTGGTGCAGACACAGGGGAGACGAGATAGGGAAGAGGCACAAAGAGAGGAGTGGACACGGGGACGCATTGAGGGACACGGGGACACACGGGGGGGGGGGGGGAAGACACGGGGGGGGGGAAGACACGGGGGGGGGGGAAGACACGGGGGGGGGGGAAGACACGGGGGGGGGGAAGACACGGGGGCGGGGAAGACACGGGGGCGGGGAAGACACGGGGGGGGGAAGACACCGGGGGGGGGAGACACGGGGGGGGAGACACGGGGGGGGAGACACGGGGGGGGGGAGACACGGGGGGGGGGAGACACGGGGGGGGGGAGACACGGGGGGGGGAGACGGGGGGGGGGAGACGGGGGGGGGGAGACACGGGGGGGGGAGACACGGGGGGGGGGGGAGACACGGGGGGGGGGGGAGACACGGGGGGGGGAGACGGGGGGGGGGAGACACGGGGAGGGGGAGACACGGGGGGGGGGGAGACCCGGGGGGGGGAGACACGGGGGGGGGGGAAGACGTGGAAAGAGAGCGGGAGACACGGGGAGGACGCCGTGACAGAGGGGACAGACACCAGGGGACGTGGAGACGACAGGGAGAGACATAAAGAGAGGGGTTAGACACGGGGAGACACCAGGAGGGTGGCACTGGGTAGACACGAAGATACATGGAGAGGGGGAGACATTTGGAGGGAGACACGGAATAGTCAGCGACACGGGGGATTGGATGTTGGTGGATTTTGCCAGTAAGGCTCCTAATGGAGGATAGCGGTCGTACCCCGCCGGTGTGCGGGCCTGGAGTGACGACGATGATACGGGGGACGCAGGGGCTGAGACACAGGGAGACGGCTGGAGGGTGGAGCGAGATGGCGGAGGGGGAAGACTCGAGGGAGATTCGTGCCGTCAAAGCCTCGCGGAGAACGAAGAGATGGGCACGGCGACGACAGAAATACACGCGGAGACACGCAGAGACACGCACAGATGAGACACACGGAGACACGCACAGAGGCGGATGAGACACACGGAGACACGCACAGAGGCGGATGAGACACGCGGAGACACGCACAGAGGCAGATGAGACACACGGAGAGAGATGGACACACAGAGCGAGTGACACGAAGGGAATGACACGGCCACAAAGACGGACAGACACACGCAGTGTCAGTGCCTCGTGATGTGTGTGTACGATTTCACAATCAGAAGTACGGTGCTTGATCAGTCACCGGCCCTGGGTTGTGTGTGGTGCAGGAACCTGCTGGTGAACGTGGCCCTCTTCGCCGCGGGGGTGTGGGTGGCGCGAAACGTCGCCGACCTGGACCTCATGGCTCCCGCGCCACTCCCGTAGAGGTACCATGCCAGGCCGGGGCAGCCTCTCCTTGTCTTAGACGTGACCCAAGACGCTGGGGCTGGGCTATCGCGATTACTCGACGAATCACGTGAATATACTGTAGTTGAGTTTGGGGGGGGGGGGGGAATGTCATCGCTGTTCTCCCCACGTGTTTAGTGGACGGGAGGTGATGGGCATGGCTAGAAGTGATAACTGCCGGTGGTCGAGACTGAAGACGGGAGTGGAAGCTATAAGGGAGGGAGCTGTGTGCGTCTTGAGAGCATTGCAGAATAGCGGTGAGCTGGTGACGTCTTTTGGAAGGGGGGAGGCCTTTCACTATAGCGGGTTGGTCGTGGCGGACGGTGCGGCAAATGTTCTAGTGGTGCGGCCAGAATTTTAGTTTCCGTTGTGCTGCAGGGGATGTGGCTAACTCCTCCCTCCCCACTTTTTTTTCCAGATCCATCGCACCTTCTCTGAAGCTGTTCCTATTGCCCGACAACCCCAAACCCTCGTGGACCATTGTCAGTGTAAGATGTTGTGAAATCATAATAAAGTATTTTGCCTCGGCAAAACAAAAAACCCAAGGATGACGATTAAATGGAAACGCGAGTCAATAAATACGAGATAAGGCATTTAGAAAAAAATGTATTTATCACAAACTCTATATATATAAAAAGAAATCGTAAACAGTTTGAAACTAACGTAGACACTTTTCTCGACAAAATCACAGCAACACGAACTCGAAACAACAAATAAAATCCTCACGCCTTCTTTACACTGGCACAGCTAGTGCAACTTACCCAGCATGCATTGTGCTCCACACGCCAACCAACGCAGCACGGCAGGACCCACCCAGCAGACTCCCAAATACCATCTTTACCACCATTCCCTGCGACCAAGGGGTTCTCCACGTAGCTTCACGCAATGGGCATCCTATCAATCAACTTTAATAATTTTTCCCAGACCGCGGTTTGAAGGTCGCCGAGCATAGGTTACGCCACGTTGGTCACTGGGCAGAAATGTATTATTTCGCTCGTGTTTAAGAGTTGTTCCACATGAAGGCTGATGGAATAAACGGGACAGAAAATACAACGGGAGCAGATTGTAGATTAACAAGACAACATGTGCCACACAGTACGAACTAGCAGACAATACAAAATGAAATACTTTTGAACCAAGTTGATAGATCAAATCGTTGAGGCGTAATTCATAACTTTATATTTAAAGAGCACCTTCACTCAAGGCGCTTGACATGGTTTAAAAACCGGTGATATAACAGAATGATCTCGTCTTTTGCATCGCTAGACACCTTCATTCTCACGGCAGCAACAAAGTCCACTTCGAGGGATATGTGTGAGCACAGGTGGGAGACAAAAGACCCTGCGATGCTCCGAGGTTTACACAGCGAGTGGAGCGATTCCAGAGGTCTGGGATCGTCCTGCGTCTCGGCAGTCGTTACAAGTTACTTTTCACACAGCGACTGAGCGACTCTCGTCCTGGGTCGCCAATCCGCCCTCGCGACCGTTCGGCCGAGACGCAGGGCGGCAGTGGAAACCACCCCGGGGGCCGGAACTCTTGAGCCGCCGAGCACCAGCTCCTAGCACGGCTTGTTACAACGTTACTTTAAAAAAATACGGCGCATTCATTCGTGACTAACTTTCTTCCATTTTTGCAAATAACGATTCTTGGGTGTTTAGACGAAATAAAAAAGAAAAAAGGCGTTTACCACTTTTTAAATTACATAAAAATAGTTTTCGTGGGTAGGCTAAGGATCCTGCCTGGGCCAAGAACAAGGCCAGCACGGTTTCAACTGGGAGGGCCGGGTGTGTGCACAGTGCTCAGGGAGGAGAAATATTCAGTGTCAAACCATCCTGTACGGAACAGCTGCTGTGATTGTTGCCGTCATAGCGTCCCCGAATGGCTTCTAACCCTGATCGATGCTGACCCCAACCCCTAATTCAGACCCCGACCGTGATCACGGTTGCGTACTGCGAGCCTCACCGACTCCACAATTTGCTGGACAAACATTCAGGCTACCACACCCAACCCCACGACGTAAACGCAGTTTTAAGCGTAAATAACCCAACGCTGACACTGTCACTGACGCAAACGCTACGCCTAATCTTAATACTGCACTAACGCTAGCCAAACTGGTCCCCACCGTCCGCTGCACAACCCAAGGTCAATGATCAGAATCTCTATTGCTCACAAAACGTTTTAACGCTAAACACCCAACAATTTCACGGCTCGCTCCGAGGCGAGGTGCCACGAGTTTGTTGCATACAGGATAATTTAGACACGAATACAAAAAAACTATTTCAAACCACACATCCTAGGCCGCCGCTCGGAGGCCCACTACACGTGACAAGTAGCTCTAACTCTACTCACCGAGAGACACGTGGGGCCGCCGGCATGCGAGGCAAGGCCCCACACTGCAGGACGAGCAACGTACGACGACATCCTCCGAAAAACCGCGGGGAAAAAAACCCCCACGTCTCTTGCCGACAGCAGCACCGTGGACCACGTCCGATCGCGAAACGCTCGCTTCACGTATACGCGCGCGCGCGCTCGTTTCTTCCACGACTTGCACGAGCGGCGCGGCAGACGCGCGAGTGCATGCGCACAAGCGCTTCAGTGCCTCGGGCCATGACCTTCGCGAGGACCCCATCCGCTTCCACCCCACGCACGGCTCGTGTGCCGTGCCGAGCGACCCGGCAAACTCGTGCGCGCGTGCGCGGTGTACCTTGCACGAGTGCGCGGTGTACCTTGCACGAGTGCGCGGTGTACCTTGCACGAGTGCCTATGCGATCACGTACTCGCACACGAGCGTGCGTGTCTGTGCGTACAGACAGGCGCGCACATCCGCACGAACGTTTCCACTCGGAAAATACAACCGAGTATTTTAAGGGTCTTGCAGAACTCCACCTGCTGCAAACACGGACCTTAGACAAATCCCATTATTACTTCCCTCCCTACCCACCCATAACCCAGCAGTACTTGCACTCCCCCTAACCAATCAGTACTCACCCCCTAGCCCACCCCAGCAAAAGTGTGCTGTTCTGTACAAATTCACACACCAGTGTTGCTCTCACAGTGCCGAGGAAGGGGCTTGGCAGTTCCTAGAGTGCACGTGTGTCCTGTGTGTGTACGGTACAGTATATGCAAGTATGTCCGTGCGCTTAAGTCTATGTGATGTGTAGTTGTATCACTGTGGGCGCACTTGCGTTTACGCATGTGTGTGTGATAGTATGTGGGTGCATGACTTCGTGAATGCAAGTATTGTATATGCATGTGCGCACGTAACTATGTTAATGCGTGTACTGTAGATGTATTTATGCGTGCACAAAGACTGCATTTGCGTCTCAGTGCGTGCAAGTACACGTGCGTGTGCTTTATATGTACCCATATGTACGTACGCGTGTCAATATATGCGCGTGTGTTAGTGTTGATTTTTCCAAAAAAGCTACCTGAGCTGTCGCTGGGCTGATGCACAAACACCGGCCGCATGAGGTTACATGTGGTGCACCGCATGGTGTACACGTGGGCCAAGCGATGTATGCGTGTGGTACACGCCAGGGGTGGGGCAAGCGAGGTGGTGCAGGGGGGGGCCTCCCCCCCCACCCCAAATCATGAAAGGGGAACAGTGCCCCCCCCCCCACAGACACTGGCTCTGCCCCCCATGTTCATCTTTCCCTGCTTGCACCCCCACATTGCGATGCTGCCTGAGTAGTAGTGAATTACAAGGCCTTTTTTTTTAAGCTGTTGAGAGTGAACACGGAAGTGCTGGTGTAAAAACAGAGGCCAAAGTGAAGATCCTGGTTTTCTCCGGGAATGAACGGAAACTGGCGCCGACCGCCGCCCCGGGCACACCGAGCCAAGGAGAACGACGCGCGCCGGCGCTGCGGCTCCTGTGAACCAAAACCGGCGGTGGCGCGGTGACTCGCGCATTATCAAACGCAAGTTGACGCCCGCACTCTTTAGCCTGGCTCGACGTAACCGAGCGTGAAGTTGCCATCAACTGGACCGAGATGCCGAAAAAACCCCCGTCGATTTTAAAGCCACGTGTAGCTAGAGTACCGGCTGTTCTTTTAATGCTGTCGCCGCCACGATACGGCCGATGCAAGCGCTGTCAGTTCTTCATCAGGAGTCCGCGTCTCTGCTTAGCATGAGCGTGGAGAGCGTGGAGCGCGTGGAGAGCGTGGAGCGCGTGGAGCGCTACCCGCTGCCGCGTCAACAATCAGCTGCGCTCCGCGGCCGCGCCAAACTCGCTGGTGACGCTGCAACCTCCTCCCGCTGGTCCGGCGGTCGCGACGAGCGGGCCGGGCTCAACGGCGCCGCCACTGCCGCCGCAAGCTTGTGCTTCAAGCCAGAAACCCGCGGACGTCTGGTGCGGCTCAGCAGAGGCCAGCGCGGGTGCGGGCAACGCCGGCTCGGCTCGCTCGCGGACGGAATCCAGGAGATTGCCAAAACCCGGGACGGAGTGTCTGAGCGGTGGTGGCGGCCGCTCGGACGCCTGCGGGTGCAGCAACAGCGTCCTTACGCTGGCGTCGTTGTCGGGGAGCGAGCTACTCTGGGCGTCGGGCGTGCCGGCGGCAAGGTCCTGTTCGTCGTCGCCGCACAGGCCTCCCCTGGGCTGCGTGTCCAGCGGTGGCGGTGCCGGCGGGGTGAAGGGCGGTGCCGGCGGGGTGAAGGGCGCCGCCTGCGGTTCGCAGTGCTCCCCGTCGGTGGCTGGCGAACGTGCGGGGCGCGCAAACGACTCAGCCACCCTGCGCTCCAGAGAAAACAGCGCCTCGGGGCCAGAGGGTTTTGGGGAGGCTGGGGGCGTAGGGGAAGAGGTGGGGGGGGCCAGGGTGGGGGCGACCGGGACCGACGCGGGGGGCAACACCCGTGTTTCCGGCACCGCCGTTGCCGTGGTGCAGATTCGATCGTCGGGTGACTTGCGCTGCGAGTAGAAGAGGATGTAGGCCTGGGCGCGGCACACCTCCTCCACGCTGCACACGCTCATCTCCGAGTCGTTGCAGTGAACCCAGAAGCCTGCAGACACACAAGACAAATATACCCCATATAGCCTTAACAAGCGCACTAACCGCTGCACTACCGCTCCTCACCCACAACAACAACCGCCATTCGCCACTAAGTGGCGGTGACGTCACCACGACGCTTGTGCAAGGCACGTTGAGGCCACATAAAGTATCGAACAACCGCCGGCAGGTCACGGGACTCCGCTCGTTGTTGTGAGCGTCGCTCCTCCGCCCTCCATTGTTGTTGGAGGGCGACTGCCTCCAACTGCACAGTAGCGTCCTTCACGAGCCTCCTCCAGAGGCCGATCTTGACACCGCTGATACCGGTCATCGGCAAGTCCACTCAGCTCCACATCCTCCTGTACCACATCACTCCATCTCTTCTCTATCCCATGTCGCGCCCGTTTAGCCCCCTTGATCTGGCCAAACAAAAGCTGTTTAGGCATGCGGTGGCTGGGCATGCGGGCTACATGACCCAGCCAACGCAGCCTTGTTTGCCGGAGGAGCTCACCGATGGGACTTTGTCCAGATCTTTCAAGGATTTGTGAGCTCCTCACACAATCCAGCCTGGTTCAACCCAGGATAGATCGTAGGCAAGCCAGCCTAAATGTTTCTAACCGGCAAAGATGTTCCATTAGGGGGTTCCACGTTTCGCAAGCGTAGAGAAGGGAGAATGACTGTGGCCGAGAAGATCTGAAACTTTGTGCGGAGCGACAGACCAGGTAGCTTCCACACAGCGTTACGTAACCGATGAAAAGATGCCGCTCGACTGATTCGGAGTGAGACCTCTGCTGTCAAACCGGAGCCGGTCATGAGCACACTGCCCAGGTATGGGAAACTCTCCACTTTCTCCACAACTGCCCCATCACCGATTGGGAGTTTAGGGGGTGGAGTGTCCGATGGTACAAAATACCCAGGCAAGTGCTTAGTTTTGGTGGGGCTGATGGTAAGGCCCCATCTCTTAGTGGCACGCTCATGTCTCAGCAGCAGTGCCTCCAAGTCCTCCTCTGAGTGAGCAGGATTCACCAGAGCATCGGCATACATTCCATGGTTGATCAATAGGGAGCCATCCCTTGACTGCACCCGGGCATCGATAAACATCCCATTGTATCTGTACCAGATGGAAATTCCTCCCGTGCAGCTATTGAAGGCTTCACGAACTACGTGGTCGAAATAGATGTTAAATAATGTGGGAGCCAGAGGACATCCCTGTCGCACCCCAAGGTGAACAGGGAATGGCTCCGACTCCCGTCCACGTAGTTTTACCCGGGCCCGCTCACCATCATGATGGTCCTTAATGATCGTGAGCAGAGGGTCAGGGACTCCGAAAGCACGAAGAACAACCCAGAGCCCAGGCCTACTACTGGTATCATAGGCCCTGACCAGGTGAATCAAGCAGAGATGTAGGCCATGTTGGAATTCCCTACACCTCTGCTGTAGCAGACGGACAGAAAATTGGCATCTGTGCAGGACCGCCCTTTCCTGAAACCACATTGGGGCTCTGTAAGCCTCTCCTCAGCGTGCCTGGCAAGGCAATGTTGAATAATCCTTGCCAGGACCTTTCCCGACACACTGAGGAGTGAGATGCCCCTGTAGTTGTTACAGTCTGTGCAGTCCCCCTTCTTAAAGAGGGGAACCACCAGGGCATCCTTCCAATCCTGCGGAACCCGTCCAGTGGTCCAGACTGTTGTTATGATGTCATGTAGGGCAGTCTGTGCACAAACGCCACCCTCCCTCAGTATTTCACTTGGGAGATCATCTCTGCCCAGTGCCTTTCCTGGTCTCAGACTCCGGATCATCTTCAGTACTTCCTCAACAGATGGCACCTCAGCCAGCCACTCACAGGGGGTGACTTCCAATATTTGAGATACCGCAGCCTCAGCAGGGTCATCCCCACTTTGTCCCACAATGTTTTCCAGGCTGAGGGATTTTCCCTCTCCCAGGACCTCACAGAAATGCTTATCAAATCTGAAAACCTGTTCCTGGGGGTCGGAGATTGGATTACCGTTCTTTCCCCTAATGATGGTAATAGGTGTGACGCTGCAGGTTACTTTTTTAATGGAGTTATAGAGCGATGTGTGATCGCGGGCCATTGAGGCATCTCCTCAGCAACCCGCGACCACCACCCATCCTTGCAGTGCCTCACAGCTCTCCGAACCTCCGAGCGAAGGCTGCGTTAAGCCTCCTCATTCTCTGACATGGGATGCTGTAGACGATGAGAGTGGGCCTGTCGCTTTTTCTCAGCCACCCTGAACACCTCCTCTGTCAGCCAGGGTCTCTGGGGAGGTCTGGACCGTGTACCCAAAGCAGCCATTGCTGCTGCATGAGCCACAGTCCTAAACCTTGCCCATTTCCCCTCGACATCAGGAGGAATGGGGGACGATGCCAACCCCAGCCGCAAGCGATGATGAAATCCTCGCTTGCAACTTTCATCAGTTAGCTGAGACCAGGCCACTATGGGTTTGAATGGGGTCCTGAGTGTACACCCACCACCGGAGTGGGAAAATGGCAGGCACATCTTACAGATGACAAGTCGATGGTCAGTGGGAAAATCAGCTCCACGGTATGTCCTGGTGTCAAGGACATGGACCCGCATCCGCTGCTCCATCACTATGTAGTCCAGCAGATGTTCTTACTTGGACCCGGCATGCATCCATGATGTTGTGTGGATGCGCCGATGCCGGAACAGCGTGTTGGTAATTACAAGCCCATGGGCTGCACAAAAATCTAGCAGCCTCCTGCCGTTGTTATTGAGCTGATCTGGTCCATGCCTTCCAATCACTCCAGACCAGGCGCCAGCATCATAACAAACTCAGGCATTGAAGTCGCCCAACAAGATGACTCCATCCCAAGGGGCCACTTTAGCTCGCAACTGTGACAGGAGGTCATAGAAGGCATTTGACCCCTGAAGAAGCTCCCAGCACGAGGAGGTAGGGGTTTGTTTTTGCCGCACACACACACCCAGGCCCACACGCATGTGCACACACGCACGGATACTCACACTAATACACAAATGCACATACATGGGCAGGAGACAAACACCCACAAGCGGGCAATCACACGCGCAACGCTCTACTTCCTGTGCGGCCATTACTGCACCCGAGGCGTGCGGCCAACTCTCCTCCAACCCCCTTCCTACACTCATTCACTCTCTGTCGCTCTCACTCACCCTCTCGCTCGCTCGCTCATACTCACCGCCCTCAGTGTTGTAGACGTAGGCCGTGTAGTGCCCGGAGCCGAAGCCACGCCCGTGGTGCATTACGACGGCCGACAGGTCGTACACCAGGCCCTCGCGTCCGCCCAGCCGCGCGCCACTGCGGCTGCAGAAGGCCCTCATGCTGAGCTCGCGCGTGAATGCCACGTGGACGCCGATCTTCTCACGCTGGTTACGCCCGGACCACCTGCTCGTGCCACACCACACGTTGCCCAGCGGGCGATCACTTTTGCGTGGTGCAGCCGCTGGCGCCTGCCACCGCTGCCGCCGCAGCAGAGCAACGCTCAAAACAACGGACAATGCCCAGCGGTTAAAATACATAGGTCATACAGTAGGGGGCACAGGTGGTGCATCTACCAGTCATATCAGTCAGTCAACCAACGGCACCTTTGTCTGTTCCATGAACTGCCCTTTGACGCATCATGTGGTCTCAAAGTGCACATAGCCTGGCATAAGTGGCGAATGGCGGCTGTTGTTGTTGTGTGTTCGCTGGATGTGTGAGTGCACCAGTATACCGTCATGTAGAGTGTGTGTACCGTCATGTAGAGTGTGTGTACCGTCATGTAGAGTGTGTGTACCGGCGTGTAGAGTGTGTGTACCGTCATGTAGAGTGTGTGTACCGTCATGTAGAGTGTGTGTACCGGCGTGTAGAGTGTGTGTACCGTTGTGTAGAGTGTGTGTACCGTCATGTAGAGTGCGTGTACCGGTGTGTAGAGTGTGTGTACCGTTGTGTAGAGTGTGTGTACCGGTGTGTAGAGTGCGTGTACCGTTGTGTAGAGTGTGTGTACCGTTGTGTAGAGTGCGTGTACCGGTGTGTAGAGTGCGTGTACCGGTGTGTAGAGTGTGTGTACCGGTGTGTAGAGTGCGTGTACCGTTGTGTAGAGTGTGTGTACCGTTGTGTAGAGTGTGTGTACCGGTGTGTAGAGTGCGTGTACCGGTGTGTAGAGTGCGTGTACCGTTGTGTAGAGTGTGTGTACCGTCGTGTAGAGTGCGTGTACCGTTGTGTAGAGTGCGTGTACCGTCATGTAGAGTGCGTGTACCGGCGTGTAGAGTGTGTGTACCGGTGTGTAGAGTGTGTGTACCGGTGTGTAGAGTGTGTGTACCGTCATGTAGAGTGTGTGTACCGTCATGTAGAGTGTGTGTACCGTTGTGTAGAGTGTGTGTACCGGTGTGTAGAGTGTGTGTACCGTCATGTAGAGTGTGTGTACCGTTGTGTAGAGTGTGTGTACCGTCATGTAGAGTGTGTGTACCGGTGTGTAGAGTGTGTGTACCGTCATGTAGAGTGCGTGTACCGGTGTGTAGAGTGTGTGTACCGGCGTGTAGAGTGTGTGTACCGTCATGTAGAATGTGTGTACCGTTGTGTAGAGTGTGTGTACCGTCATGTAGAGTGCGTGTACCGGTGTGTAGAGTGTGTGTACCGGTGTGTAGAGTGTGTGTACCGTCATGTAGAGTGTGTGTACCGTTGTGTAGAGTGTGTGTACCGTCATGTAGAGTGTGTGTACCGGTGTGTAGAGTGTGTGTACCGTCATGTAGAGTGCGTGTACCGGTGTGTAGAGTGTGTGTACCGGCGTGTAGAGTGTGTGTACCGTCATGTAGAATGTGTGTACCGTTGTGTAGAGTGTGTGTACCGTCATGTAGAGTGCGTGTACCGGTGTGTAGAGTGTGTGTACCGGTGTGTAGAGTGTGTGTACCGTCATGTAGAGTGTGTGTACCGTCATGTAGAGTGCGTGTACCGGTGTGTAGAGTGTGTGTACCGGCGTGTAGAGTGCGTGTACCGGTGTGTAGAGTGCGTGTACCGGCATGTAGAGTGTGTGTACCGGCATGTAGAGTGTGTGTACTGGTGTGTAGAGTGTGTGTACCGGCATGTAGAGTGCGTGTACCGGCATGTAGAGTGTGTGTACCGGCATGTAGAGTGCGTGTACCGGCGTGTAGAGTGCGTGTACCGGCATGTAGAGTGCGTGTACCGGTGTGTAGAGTGCGTCTACCGGCATGTAGAGTGCGTGTACCGGTGTGTAGAGTGTGTGTACCGTTGTGTAGAGTGTGTGTACCGGTGTGTAGAGTGTGTGTACCGGTGTGTAGAGTGCGTGTACCGGCATGTAGAGTGCGTGTACCGGAAGCGCTTGAGGTGCAGCCGCAGAACTTGGGGTAGACGGCACACCAGCAGCTGCTTCCTGGCTTCTGTTAGAACCAAGGGCTTGGAGGCGCCACCCCGCTGCTTGCCTGGGCACAAGGAGATGCAACGTTGGCGGTGTAAGCGATGGAACGCGTCACAGTGCTGATATGCCTCATACGCTCAGAAATACGTCATTATTTTGCTTGTTAAGTTCTTAGAAGCTTGCTCAAATATTAGAACGTCTCAATATTGCCGAACGTTGCTGGCCGCTTGGCGTTTTGGCCGCCTCACCACTCTGGTCAGCGTGGGTTGGTGAAGGCGGAAAGCAAAGACGCATAGTACAGCAATGGATTTTTCTGCAGTGCCCTCTGCTGATCCATCGTACAGTTAGGCGGTCCAGGCATCCAATAACACTAACCAGGCCCAGCTCCCCGCTTAGCTTCCTTTCAGCATTACAGCCGCAAATGGAAAACGAGACAATCCAACAATGTGAAAAGAAACAATAAAAATCGATTTGGGAAATCAAAACGGGACTGTGAATATTCTTGGTTATTTCGGTAAAGTCACGTAGAAGGGAAACAATAAAATAACGAATCAATGAAACCCCGGTCGCCGAGTCGATAGACCCCAGCGGGTGGCCACGTACTGTTGCAGAAGCTGCAAGCGTAGATTTTGCCCTCTAGCGCCTCCGTCTCGGTGAACTTGCTCAGCATCTCGGTGAGGGAGCAGTCGGCGTCCGGGTGGTGGGCGCGAGCGCGTGCGTGCGAGCGCCCGTGCGCCCCCGCGCGCTTGCGCACGCAGTGGTAGCGCGCAGGGAACTCCAGCGACAGGTCCCAGAAGGGCTCCACCGTGTCGGACTTGTGCAGGCATGACATGCAGGTGACCTGCGGACACAGGAAGGCCGACGCCCATTAATATGGAGTACACGCCCCTCTCTCTCTGCTGGTACACGTGGTGGCGAGATGTTAACTACCTCGCCCTGTATACAGGAGGTTGTGGGTTGTATCCGGACCCCAATATTTGGAGTTTGCATGACTCTCTCCCCGCGGTCGCATATATTTTTCTCCGCGTCCTCCGGGTTTTCCCTTCATATTAAGAATCAATATGCGTCAAGAATATTTAGATGTTATGCATTTCCACATGATAAACCACTTCACTGAACTATCATTTGTGGCCAGGTCGCTTCTGAAGAAGATCTATGAAGCTCAGTAGGCTTTACCTGGTAAAATAAAAATGTTTATAATTAACTACCTTGCCTGGCATACAGGAGGTTGTGGGTTTGATCCCGACCGCGATGCCTGTATATTTTGAGTTTGCATGACTCTCTTTCCGCGGTCGCAGAGATTTTTCTCTGCGTCCTTCGGGTTTTCCCTCCATATTTAGAATCAGCATGGGTCAAGAGAATTTGGAGGTTATGCATTTCCACATGATAAACCACTTAATTTAACTATCATTTGTGGCCAGGTCGCTTCTGAACAAGAGCTATGAAGCTCAGTCGGCCTTACCTGGTAAAATAAAAATGTGTTTATAATTTAATAGTAACTCCCATTAAAATGGAGAACATGCCCCTCTCTCTATGCTGGTGCGTGTCGCACCATCTGCATGGCTGCTGTGGTGTACATCACGTGGCGACGTTACCGCCACTTTGTGGCGAATGGCGGTTGTTGTTGTGTACCAGCATGTGTGTGGGAAACGGTGGTGGGATTCATTGGCAAGCTGCGCTACAAATCCGGTGACCTGAGTCCAATTCACGGCCACGGCTAACACCGGCGGTGTGGCGTATCCAAAACCGGTGGTCCTTAGTTTGACATCAGCACCGGGAAGAGGAAGGGAGTCACGGTCAGCCTCAAGCGCACGGTGCCTCACCTGGCTGAGCAGCTGGCCCTGGAAGATGGTGTTGACGACCTGCAGCACGTGCCTCAGCAGCGTGCGCTGGGCTAAGGGTATGAGCAGTGGGGGGCCACGGCCCCCCGCCCCCTCCAGCTCCCTCTGCACGCGATCGAGCAGCTCACAGAGAAATTCCTGCGCATCCTGCTGCCCGTAGCCCTGCAGAGCAGCGATGGCACGCGGCGGCGGGGGGGGGGAGAGAAGGAAGAGATCGTCATTATGTATACCGTGCCGTCATCAGCAAGGCATGCACACGGGTTTTGTGAACTGTTTTCACGATGGAGTTTAGGCGACCATTTAATCAGTGTGGCTGGTTTTTAATTGGGTAATTCCCTGACACCAATACCACTTCCTAATAAAGTTGGGTTTATATTTATAATTGATATTCGAATCCAGTATAATGTTCAGTCGCTATTAAACAAATTGGCATGCGCCAACAGTCAAACCGCATGGCGCGTTCAGATTGGATAACCTTTGAGTGTTATGTCCCCGTTACAGACCGACACATCTAATTCATTAACGCGCTCGGGGTTATTGCGGTTGTGCGGTATAGCTCCCCACTGCGTTTTCGGGCTGTTTTCTCCCTGAAGAAGCTCCCAGCACATAGAGCGAAACATCGAATGCAAAGCCGCGGCACAACCCCAAAACGCATCGGAGATCCGTCACTTCCGCGGTTCGCAAAGGCACCTTGAACGCGGGGATGAGCCTCCACACCGAGTGCAGCATGGCGAAGGGCGACACCAGCGCCCACTTCCCCGACCACATGACGCGGAAGAGCGTGTGCAGCTCGCGGCACAGCGACAGCGGCCCGGGGCAGCCCACGGGGCTCTGCAGCAAGCGCAAGCTGCGCGCCGACCCGCTCCCTCCGCCGCCCAGCCCCGCGGGCCCGGCCGCCGAACCGGCGGGCCCCGCGGCGGCGCGTGCCGTCTGCCCCGGTGCGCGCCCCACTATGCCGGCCGCACGCCGCGCCTGCAGCAGCTTGTGCACGCTGCGCGTCGATACTCGCGCCAGCCGCCCCGCCGACGCCGCGCGGTCCAGGAGGTCGCCGAGCGGCCCGGCCGATGACGGCGGCGCCGACGACGACGGGATGAGGGGGAAGGGACCCCGTGTCTCGCCGCCGCCGTGAGCTGGGGACGGCGGCGGCGGTGCCGGCGGAGCGTCGCCCTCGCTCATGTCGAGCGCCAGGAAGCACTCGCGGAACTTGTGCAGGTGGCTAAGCACCTGTAGGATGGAGTTCATGTAGCACGTATTGCCCAGGTTGCGCAGCCCAGTGACGCCGGGAGTCAGCATCGAGCTCTGCCGCTTTAGCGCTGCCATGGCACGCTCCAGCTGCCGGCTGCGCCACGCGCGGCTCGTGCCGCCACCGCCGGGCCTAGCGCCGTCGCCGTCCCCACCGCCGATGGCGTAGTGGGCGCGGGTGGCGAGGCGGGCGCTCTTGCGCGGCGGCTGGGCGGACATCTCCTCGCGCAGCTGGCGCTTGTGTTCAGCTCGGCGTGCACGCTGGGCCTCGCGCCGTCGCTCCGCCTCCTCCCGCCGGCGCCCCTCCTCGAGCCGGGCACGTCCGCTCCCCGTTTCACCAAACCAGGCGCCAAATGCGCGCCGCAAACGCCGGAGGCTAAGGTGCACACAAATACACATTTTGTGTTTATTGCCTGCTGGGGCAAGTGCTGTTAGTGATTGCCGATTCAGGCCGGCACGGCACATAAGGAGGTGGTGTGGCAAAGACCACACCTGGCCTCCTTTGTCTCCCCAGAATTAATATTTTAAGGCTGGATAAATTAACCTGGACCAGGCCAGGTTCTGATATCGGTCGCCACTGATGTTAATTGTGGCCAGGAATTAACCTCACTGGGGTGGAGTTGCGCTGCTACTCCCACACGCTATCCACACGTGCTACTAGCTGCAAAACCACACATTTCTCACACCACTTTCATGAATACGCACAGCTACAGACACACTAGCCAAACACAAGAATACACACACACACACGCACATACGACTGCACACGCGTCCAATTAAAGGTGTGAGAGGTTAAAGGAGACTGAAAGAGGGCAACGGTTACCCTGTTACTGAGCATTAGATTCTATAAGAAGGTAACAAGTCACTGCGTGACGGGCTAATGACTCGGTAACTACGCAGCAGTCGCTCGCCATCCTCACCGGCGAAGCTTGAGTGCTGTGAGCAGGCGGTCGTTGGCATGGGCCCGCGCCTCACCAGCGCGATTCCACGTGCACGCCTCCCCACTACCCCCTGCCGATCGCAGGGCACGGCCCCCACCACCCGTACTGCCGCCACCACCGCCGCGCAGTAGCCCCCCCGGGGGACCGCCTCTTCTCGCCCGCACGGTGCCCAGGGCCCCCCGCAGCAGCTTAAGGTCGCCCTGCGCGTTGTCGTTGAGGACGTAGTCGTCGCACGCGAAGCAGAACACGTAGAGCTCCGCCACGTGCATGGCGAGCGGGTGCCGCATCATCGCGGCGTGCCGGTCGGCGTGAGCAGCCACGTCACGCCCGCACGCTACGTGGGGGCACGTCAGGCAGGCCCACACCGAGGAGGCGCAATCGCAGGCGCCGTCATCGCAGAAGGTGGCGGCAGCGGCGGCTGCGGTACCACAAGAGGCAAAACCTGACACGTCGTGCGGCTCGCAAACCGCTCCGCCGCCACCGCACACGTGGTTACAAACCGCACCGCCAGTATGACCAGCACCGCCGGCGCCACCACCTCCGACGTCCACAGGCAGGCCTCCGACGTCCACAGGCAGGCCTCCACCCTCGCTGTTGCACGCACCGCCGTCATTGGTCTTCCGCACTGCGCAGCAGCCGGCGCAGTCCACGCACGCCCACTTGTCTGGGTTGAGTATCGAGTGGTTCTGAGAAAGCTTGAGTCTCCACACGTGGCGGCAGCGATCCATGCCCCGCACCAGCACGCGCACAAGCGCGCCACACCCTGCAGTGGTTGCCGCCGGTGCTGCCGAACAGTCGGGGTGCCCTCCTCCCTGGCCGTGTTGCCTGTAAGGGGGGGGGGGGAAGTTAGTGATTAAGTGACTGTAAATACTACTGCCTCTGACCGCTCTTAGCTGTACCGGTTTTAAAACCAGTCATAAGGGACGCATGCAAAGTGTCATGATTGCTTCGGTCAACTTCAAAGCCACGTTTTTTTTAATAACAAAGGTGGAATTGTATGGCTCACGGAACCAGACCGAAAGCAACGCATCGGCTACTAGAGGGGAAAGACCTGCGACATTTTAGACTTGCCACGCTGATAATTTTAGCGATCCTGGTCACCTGTTGTCGATCAAGTAGTTCTGAGCACAAAGTCAATGGAAGCAGTTCTACCGTACACAAAGCTTAGTGTCAACCAATGTGTGGGCTGCCCGTCAAAGGTGTTTGAAAATCAGCCTTGAGTAGGGAAAAGGTCCCCCACTAATGTAGGGTGCCAGTACTAACGGGTCTCCCCTCCTCCCGATCGTTCCTTTTGTTTATGAACAAAGCCACGGGACCCCGATCTATCCAGGCCTCCATTTCCCCATGTCTCCCTGTCCCGCTTAAGTCCCCTTATGTATGTGTGTATATAACTTCTTTCGCACCGTACGTAGCCAACCGTGCGAATCGGATGTGTGGGGGAAGAACACCAAACCAAACAAAAAAGCAGTTCTTAATAGATATAAGTTCTCAATCTAGACGTAAAAGTGCATTCTCCCGCGTTCCTGGGACTCTCAGTCCTGATCCCCTCAATCCTTTGTCACAATGGGCCTCAGTCTCTATACGCCGTGATGTCACCCATCCCCCTGGTCCCCTGAATCCCCCAGATCCCCTCACAATAGATCCCCTTCTTCCCATTCCATCGATCCCCTCTTTCTGATCATCTTGATAACTCTCTCACCTCGCCCGCTTGACTCCCTTACCCGACTCCCCTCACCGTGATCGCCTTTATCCCTTCAAACCAGAACCCCGTGGGGATCGCCCCACGTATCTCCCTCATCCCTTTGATGCCATCAACCATACAACCCTTTAGATCCCATCGCCGGACCCCCTCGCCATGACCTCTTTTTCCCTCACCCCGTCCCCTTTTATCCCCTCTCCCTGGCCTCCCTTTGATTTCCCTCGCATTGAACCCCCATCACCCCTCTCTCATCCTCATCTCCTCAACCAAACCACGCTCGATCCCGTTACCCACCCCCCCCACCCGTCTTGCCGAACACCCCCTCGGTTCCTACACCACGCTCTTGCCCCCCCTCACCATCACGACCCCCCCTCATCCCCTTTACTCGAACCCCCCGCCACCCTTTATATCCTCTCTCCCTGCCCTTTCACTCGGATCCCCTCGCCAAACAAAATCCCTTTGAGCCCCCTCGCCCGCTCTACCCCCCTCGTCTTTGGATTCCCTCGCCTCGTTTAATCTCGACCCGCTCCCCCCAACCACCACCCAGACCCCCGCCCCCGCGTTACCCGCACACGCTGACCGGCCCCCCTCCGCTCCGCTATCCCCTCGGCCGGGCCCCCGTTGATGGTCCCCGTTGAAGCCCCCCGCGCCGGGATCCGCTTCGCGCACAAAACGCGACTCCGCGTCCCGGGCGCCTGGGCCTCCCCCCGGCGACCAATCGGCGCGCGGCGCAAAGACGCGCGCGCCGATTGGTTGGCGCGCGTCGCGATGTCGGCGTTAGCCGCTCACGGCGCGCGGTACTGCGACGCGGAGGAGCGCCGCGGAGGCGGAGTGAAAACCCGGAGCGGTACGCCGTCACGTGCGGAATGGAGTCGCAGTCCCCCCACCTCCCACCGCCATCGACAATGAGCATTCAATGGGCACCAACGCATGGGCAACCAACGCTTGTTTCTTCACTTAACATCGTAAATCTTCCCCTAAAAATATTTGGTGCTTCATCATACAACTGCATTTGCAAAATGTGATTTGTAACTTTCTTCCTTACCCCGTGTATCGATAGTAAAAACAATTTACAGAGCTACTGCGTGTTGTCTCGCTGTGGGGGTCTGGGAATGGGGTTTCTGTTGTTTTGCTGCTTGGGAATTGGCGTTCTCATGCAATTTGAACGTATATACTTGATGTATCTTAGGAGATTAGGATCACACTCTTAAAGGGAGTGCGCCTAATCTCAGCTTGTTACCTGTATAAAAGACACCTGTCCACAGAAGCAATCAATCAATCAATCAAATTCCAAACTCTCCACCATGGCCAAGACCAAAGAGCTCTCCAAGGATGTCAGGGACAAGATTGTAGACCTACACAAGGCTGGAATGGGCTACAAGACCATTGCCAAGCAGCTTAGTGAGAAGGTGACAACAGTTGGTGAGATTATTCGCAAATGGAAGAAACACAAAAGAACTGTCAATCTCCCTCGGCCTGGGGCTCCATGCAAGATCTCACCTCGTGGAGTTGCAATGATCATGAGAACGGTGAGGAATCAGCCCAGAACTACACGGGAGGATCTTGTCAATGATCTCAAGGCAGCTGGGACCATAGTCACCAAGAAAACAATTAGTAACACACTACGCCATGAAGGACTGAAATCCTGCAGCGCCCGCAAGGTCCCCCTGCTCAAGAAAGCACATATACATGCTCGTCTGAAGTTTGCCAATGAACATCTGAATGATTCAGAGGACAACTGGGTGAAAGTGTTGTGGTCAGATGAAACCAAAATGGAGCTCTTTGGCATCAACTTAACTTGCCGTGTTTGGAGGAGGAGGAATGCTGCCTATGACCCCAAGAACACCATCCCCACCGTTAAACATGGAGGTGGAAACATTATGCTTTGGGGGTGTTTTTCTGCTAAGGGGACAGGACAACTTCACCGCATCAAAAGGACGATGGACGGGGCCATGTACCGTCAAATCTTGGGTGAGAACCTCCTACCCTCAGCCAGGGCATTGAAAATGGGTCGTGGATGGGTATTCCAACATGACAATGACCCAAAACACACGGCCAAGGCAACAAAGGAGTGGCTCAAGAAGAAACACATTTACGTCCTGGAGTGGCCTAGCCAGTCTCCAGACCTTAATCCCATAGAAAATCTGCGGAGGGAGCTGAAGGTTCGAGTTGCCAAACGTCAGCTTCGAAACCTTAATGACTTGGAGAAGATCTGCAAAGAGGAGTGGGACAAAATCCCTCTTGAGATGTGTGCAAACCTGGTGGCCAACTACAAGAAACGTCTGACCACTCACTGTACCTCCGATTTGCACGGTTGGCTACATACGGTGCGAAAAAGTTCAAGATACTATGCATACCACACTAAGCCTTACTGTAATCACCTCACCTTTGCCACCATTCTAACCCTCACCTTGATCTCTCAACATCACCTCGCTATCATTGGGCACCTCACTCTTACCTCAACATCACCTAAACCTCACCTTTATCCATTACGACCTCAATCTAACCATAATCTTACCTCACTCTAAACATCATCTCACCTCAACCTCACCAACACCTAATGATCACCTCACCTCATCCTCATCTCGCCCTCTCCTCACTCAGGGATACCAGCCGCATGATTGTGTAGTCACTCAGACTGAGACATTGTAACCACACAGCATCTCCGCACACAGCGTCTTCGCACACAGCGACTCCGCACACAGCAACTCCGCACACAGTGTCCTCGCACACAGCAACTCCGCACACAGCGTCCTCGCACACAGCGACTCTGCACACAGCGTCTTCGCACACAGCATCCTCGCACACAGCGACTCTGCACACAGCGACTGCGCACACAGCGTCTTCGCACACAGCGACTCCACACACAGCGTCTTCGCACACAGCGACTCCGCACACAGCGTCCTCGCACACAGCAACTCTGCACACAGCGTCTCTGCACACAGCGTCTCCACACACAGCATCTCAGCACACAGCAACTCCGCACACAGCGACTCCGCACACAGCGACTTCGCACACAGCGTCTTTGCATACAGCGACTCCGCACACAGCGTCTTCGCACACAGCGTCTCTGCACACAGCGTCTCCGCACACATCGTATTCGCACATAGCGTCTTCGCACACAGTGTCTTCGCACACAGCATCTTCGCACACACAGCGTCTTCGCACACAGCGACTCTGCACACAGCGACTCCGCACACAGCGTCTTCGCACACAGCATCTCCGCACACAGCGTCTTCGCACACAGCGACTCTACACACAGCGTCGTCGCACACAGCATCTTCGCACACAGCGTCTCAGCACACAGCAGCTTCGCACACAGCAGCTTCGCACACATATTTAGCCTGCACTAGCCTCTATTCTGCACCAGGCTACACCATACTAAACCTTCACCAGTTTGACCCTGCACTAGCTTGAGCCTAGCCTTTAATCTGCACAAGCCTGCACCAGACTTAGCTTGTGCAATGACCAAGGCAACAGACAACTTACCTAACACAAGTGTACAACCAAACAGCCAGGGAGTCAACCAAGGCCTCCGATTGGTGCAGATAGGCCTCAAGAGTGATTGGTCAGGAGGCGAGGTTCAAAGAGATTGGAGAAGAGATTCAAAACGTAAAAGGCAGGAAGCGAGGGTGGACTGTTGGGAGGACGGTTGACAACCATTAGAGGAGGAGGTCGAGGATTGGATGAAGGAAGTGGGGTGAGCGGAGCTTCCAGAGAAGGGGCTCAGAAGGTATAAAAGGGGACAGCACAAGAGGAGGGGGTGTTCAGAGAGAGTACAAGTTCAAGCATCAAGAACGAAGCCCGGCCTTTGAGTTAGAGTTTTGTCTAATAAATGTGCATAGTAACAACGTGTGTCGGTGCCACTACAACTGGTGTCAGAAGTGGGGTTGAATAAATATGTCGTGCCCAGGCCAAAAAAAGGAACCCACCGATAACGTCCGATGACGAGGAGGTCCTTCTCCAGAACGTCCTGGGAGAGAAGGACCCAAAGACTAACCTCAGGCATGCGGGAGAGACAGTGACAGCACCGGCAGAGCAAGAGCCATTGCAGATGCAGCAGCAGGAGAGCCTGCTCACCCAAGCGCCGCTGGTGGCCGGGGGCTGAGAGCGGCTGGAGGGCCGGATTGACCGCCTCACAGACGCGGTCTTTCGGATTGTATTGCAGCTCATGGAGAAGGAAGGGAGGCCGGGAGCTGTAGGGACAGTGGCAGAGGAGCCAGCAGTTGGAGCCGTCCGACCGATTGCGGCGGGAGCCGAGGAGCTGGGGCTGTCCAGCACAGCCACAGTGGCGGTGGCGGCTGGGGCACCATCGCAAGAGGCAGCCCCGGCGGCGCGCGACAAAGTGGCCGACTGACCTCGCCGGCTGAGGCCAGTCAGGGAGTTTGCGATGGCCAGTGGCGACTGGGGAGTCTTCACCAGATGACTCGAGGCTGTATACTAGTTCTTGGACTGGATAGAGGAGGAAGCCCTAAAGGCATTACCTACAGCCTTAGATTATGAAGGCATCGCCATCTTCAAGGCGATACTGGCAGATCGAAGGACCCCCTGGGTAGTTGGCGACAAATTGTGGTTGTATTGCCCATAGGTCCCATTATGTACCTCTAAATTGCATTGGCTATGGCAGGGCCCAGTCAAAATTGTTGAGGTAAACCGTCCACAAGGCGTACGTATACAGTCGGAACATCACCGTTGGTATGGTCACCCGTCATGCCTTAAGCCTCATCTTCATCATCACCCATGCACCTCATCTCCATGCCCTATTTTGCCGGAGTCTGGGGTGTCTGACAAGCTACTGCAGCCATCCGCAACACCCATGTCACATGTGCATGATCCTGTGCTGCCCACGAAACCGAGAGTAAAGCAGGACGGTTCAATGCGGAACCCTGCAGACTCCACTAGTCCAGCAACGAGGACCTGCGAAAGATGCGCACGATGGTACTGACACTGTTCCTGGACGGAGCAGGGGATTGTTGCACCCCATTGTTCCCATAATCCTGCTGTTATTTACTAATTGTGGGAGGTGCATAATCTGCGCGGGAAAAATACTCACACCACACAATTGTTCTTTCCATTGTTTATTGCCAAGTTGGACACAAGGACACATTGTAAAAACATCATAAAGTTCTGGTGGGAAGAGTTTCCCTTGGCTTTTCGTGGTCTGTTGGGTTGGTCATTTCTCTCCCAGTGTTAACCGGGACGGCTTTTTTTAAAGGCGGGGGTGGAGGGTAATGTAATGACCGAAACAACAGACCACTTACCTAATACAAGTGTCCGTGCAAACGGACAGTCAGGAAGTCAACCAAGGCCTCCGATTGGCGCATGGAGGCCTCAATAATGATTGTTCGGGAGGCGAGGTTTAAAAGCGATTGGAGAAGAGATTAAAAACGTAAAAGGCAGGAAGCGAGGGTGGACTGTATGGAGGACGGCTGATAACCGTTAGAGGAGGAGGTCGAGGATTGGCTGAAGTTGGGTGATCAGCGCTCCCAGACAGGACACCTGTCAACCCAAACGGTTGACCCCGTATTCTTGTGCAGGGAAATTGAGTTTTCAGGTCCATACGGCGTACAGCCGTTTCTATACGGGCAAAACAAATGTTTTGTCAATGTATTTGTGTTTCTTGCTTGTGATGGGACTTTGTAGGATGAACGTTGAAATTTATAAGGACAATAAGGTCTGAATTGGTCTGTAAATGAGGTAGGGCACTGATAAGGGGTTGATGGGAAGGTATAAAAGGGGATAAGCACAAGGGGGAGGGGACGTTGGGAGAGAGCACGAGTTGAAGCATCCACCAAGAACGAAGCCCGGGCCTCGAGCTCGTGTTGTGTTCTGACCAAGGCCCCTCGAGACAACGCGTGGCGGCGTCACGACACTTGCACCAATCTGCACAAAGCCCAGAGTCTGCACCGTGCTCCATTCCTGACTCCGGTCCGAGTCCCGCGTCCCACCCAGGCTCCGCGCCCGATCCAGGATCCGTGCCGTGGAACCCTACCCGGGTTTCGCAAGCGGGAGCCCAAGATGGAGGCGCAGGGGGAGCCCTGGGCTTCGGGGCGGCGCCGCGTGACTTCCCCCTGTCCCCCCGTGTCTCAGTGTCTCCCTGTCTCCCAGTGTCTCCCCATGTCCCCGGGCCTCCCCGTGTCTCAGTGCCTCCCCCTGTCCCCCTGTTCCCCCGTGTCTCAGTGTTCCCCCGTTTCCCCTTGTCTCCCGGTGTCTCAGTGTCTCCCGGTGTCTCACTGCCCCCCCGTGTCTCACTGTCCCCCCGTGTCGCCGTGTCTCCCAGTGTCCCCGTGTCTCCCCGTGTTTCCGTGTCTTTCTGTATCCAACTGTCCCCCAGTGTCTCCGTGTCTCCCTGCGTCTCCGTGTACCCCCAGGTCCCCGTGTCCCCCCATGTCTCCGTGTCTGCCCATGTCCCCGTGTCTCCCCATGTCCCCGTGCCTCCCCGGTCCACCCGTATCCCCGTGTGCCTCCCTGTCTCCTTGTCTCCCTGGTCCCCCGGTGTCTCCGTGCCCCTCTGGATCCTCGTGTCCCCTGGGATCCCCTAAGTCCCCATGTCCCTACGTATCTCCTTGTCTCCCCGGCACCCCCATGTCCCCATGTACCCCCATGTCCCCGTGTACCCCCATGTCCCCGTGTCTCCCGGGCCCGCCCGTGTCTCCGTGTCCCTCCTCCAGGTCCCCATTTCCACCCGCGTCCCCGCCGCGTCCTCCGGTATCTCCGTGTCTCCCCGTGTCCCCCTGCTCCTCCTCGGAACCCCTCATGCTGGCCGTGCCCTCCGTGTTCGGCCCGACCTCCGGCACCATCAGCCTCCCGGTGATCATCAGTGCCGAGCTGTGTGGCACCCGGGTCGGCGAGGGCGACCGAGGGGATGATCTGGGAGTCCTCGGAGACCAGGCGGCGTCCCAGGACGGGTCCCAAGAGGGAGCTGAGGCGGGGGATCCTCATCATCAACACCACCACCAGCAGCAGCAGCACCAGCAGCAGCAGCTGTACGTGGTTCTCAGCATCGTGGGACCCAGCGCGGACGAGATGGGCCCCGGACTCGAGCTGGGAGGACCACTGCTGCTGGAGGGAGTCGGGGGAGTGGACGAAGGGGAGGAGGGGGTGGACGGATTGGAATTGGGGAGGGTGGCAGTGGAGGGAGTAGAGGGAATGGCCGGTGTAGGATTGGAGGTAGTGCACGGTGTGGATTGTTTGGGGTTGGAAGGGGTGGGAACTGAGGGAGTGGAAGTGAGAGGAGGAGACGGAGTAGGAATAGAGGAGGGCTTGGACGGCATGGTACAGCTAGAGGAAATGGGGCGGATTGAGGGGGATAGAGCGGAGAAAGTAGCGGGATTGAGAATGGAAGCTTTGGGAGTGGAGAGCACGGAGGAGGGAGTGCATGGATTGGAGAGAGCGGAGAGTGTGGAGGCGGAACGAGCAGAGGGAGCGGAGGGGGTTGGTTCCCTTCTCTTAAGTGGATCCGTGTCACCCGACAGCTCCAACACAGCGGCGCAGCCATGGACGGGGGTCAACACATTCAGCAGCAGCAACAGTAGCGGCATGATCAGCCTCACCGACAGCAGTGTTATCAGTAGCAGCGTGATCCCCAGGCCCTATGCCACGGACGGAACCACGTGTGTTCGGGACGTGGCAAACTGCGATCCCAGTGGTGGCGATGTTGTGCCTCACCCCGTCTGGCCGTCGGACGAGGCCAGAGTGGCGGGTGTCGTTTCTGCGGCCTCCGCCGCGCCGTTTGGCCACCCAGGTTTAGACCCGAACCTGACTTTAGTCGATGCTGGGGCGGCGGAGGGGGAGCCACCGCCGCAGGGGGGGGCCCCTGTGGGGGAGGAGGACAAGGCGCTGTTCGCCGTGGTGGGAGATGCGTGCCTCATCGTCGACCTGGACGCGGCCGCCGACAGGGGCGGCGGGAGCAGCGGCGCCGAGGCCATGCGGCAAGACAGTAATGGGGGAACGCGGCCCACGAATGGAGGGAGTGACGGGGTCCCCAAGGGGCCACCGGGCGGCCTGGTTGACCCTCCGGACGGGGGAGAGCGCCTCGGTCGTTCACCCGACTGCCGCCTGGCTGCTGACGGAGACTGCACGCTCGCCGTGACGGGTAGGGGATTTGTCGGGCCCTCAGCAAGTGCAGGGGTCTGGATCGCGCGACAGGGCTGAAGTTCTGGGGTCAGCCGGTCCAGCACTGAGGTGAAGGATCCAGGGCTGAGGTCAAGTAGACATGGTTAGAGAGTTAAGGATCCAGGTTTGGTGTCCAGCAATCAGGACTGAGTTCAAGGAGTGAGGAGGGTCAAGGTGTCGTCAGGGGAGGGGAGGTTAAAGTCACATGAAGTTGCCCATACGATTGATTGGGCATGAGTTCCAGGCTCGGTTGTAGCACAAGACCACGTGGATCTGCTTCGTGGGAACCCACAGGCAGCGTGTCCACGCGGGTCACCCTTCACACTCTCTGTCTTGTGTCCAGAAGCAGATGACAGTGATCATGATATGGGGCGGTAGTGTGATATCGTGGCAACACATTAGCCTCGCAGCAAAAAAAGGGCCTGGGTTCGATTCCAAACTTACGCGCCTTTCTCTTCACCGTTGGGTATTCAGGTCTACCCCAAAGCTGATTTAAGTTTGATTTATAACGCAAACAAATTGTATGCAGCGAGTCGCGACACGACCGCAAGTCATGCAACGTAACTGGTATTCACCAGACATGCTGAAACAATTCTTTAAAAGGACCTGCACATTACTCAATTGGGATTACATACATCCTGCGGTGGAAGCAGCGGTTAGCCTGGTGCGCTTTAGACCCGGCGACCCGAGTTCGATTCCCATTCACAGCCACCCACACCGCTGATAATTATCTGAACCGTTCCTGAGCCTCTACTAGGTCGACTCAACCTCAAATGAGTACCTGGTGGAGTGTGTACTAAACATCTCCACGAGGGAGACAAAGGCGGTCGGGCTAGTGCTGACCACCCACCCCCTCATGTGCTGTGCCGGCCTTCATAGGTGCTACTTGCTAACAGCACTCGCCCCAATAGTCTGTTAAGACTATACGGGGGATCTTTGTCATTGTGGTACTGCTATGTGCAGGTCGGGGAGACGCAGCGGAGGTGGAAGAGGAGGAGGATGACGAGCACTGTAATGGCCAGGAGTTCCCGTGCACCGTCGACTGCTGCCACAGCGTATACAGCAGCATGCGCAAGCTGCAGGTGCACATGATGGCGCACACTTACGGGCGCCCCTACAGGTCAGTGCCGCCACGAGTCGGCAGCTCGCCCACAGAGCGGCGCGTCGATTCATATCGGTTGATCTCGGTTAACGTAAATAAAATTATTGTCGCGTAACATGGCCTGTCAACAAAATTATGTGGGCGGAAAATTCTAAAAGCGCAAAAAACTGAACGCGGTGAGGACTACAATGCAGTTCTTCATGAAATTCTGGAGGGTTATTGTTTTTGTTGCATAATGCACAAAAGGATGAGTTCCTTTCCTGTTCTAATTCATGCGCCCACCAAACCATCCACAACGCAGGTGCACGTGGGACGACTGTGGCTGGTCCTTCACCTCGTCGTACAAGCTGAAGCGGCACTTCGTCTCGCATGAGAAGCAGCGTCCGTTCGTGTGCGAGGAGGCCGACTGCGGCAAGCGCTTCTCCACCGTCTACAACCTCAAGGCTCACCGGCGCGCGCACGGCGCCGGGGTTACCGGCGCGCCTGCCTGCCTCCTCTGCGGCGCCGCCTTCGCGACGCCGGCACGCCTCGCTGCTCACCAACGCGTCCACGCTGAACCTCGCCGCCCACACCTGTGCGACTTCCCCGGTGCGACGGCGAGACGGCCGGTGTGGTGTGGTCAGAGGCAGGCAACAGCGGTGTGGTCAGGGCAAGGAAGCGCGGCCGCTGTGGCTGGGGATATGTGGGTGACAGTGTGGCCGATGGTGTGGCTGGAGGGACTGGGAGTCAGTTGTCGGCACGGTGAGCCCGGAAGGGGGAGTGGTTGATGACGTATGCCTGCGGGAATGTCTGGCGGTGTGTGAGAGATGTGTAGTCAGTGGTGTGGGTGGATTTTAGTTCGTGCACGTGCTATGTAGTTGGTTGTGTGGCTTTTGGCGCTGTCGCTCACGTGCTCTGCCAGTGTTTCTGAAGGTGACAATGTAGCTGATGGTGTGGCCGTAGATGTGGCTATTGGAGTATGTGTGGCCAGTGTGGCCGAGGGATACGGGCAGCCGGCTCCCCCTCGACCACGTCTTAACCACGTGGTGTCCATTGCCCCGGCAGGCTGCGAGAAGACCTTTTCGACGGCGAACGCGCTGGGTGCGCACCGGCGCTCGCATGCACGCGCGCGCGAGCTCTTTGTGTGCTCCTACCCGGGCTGCGGGAAGACATACGACAAGGCGTGCCGCCTCACGTTGCATCTGCGCAGCCACACCGGTGAGCGCTGGCACATGGTGGGGTGGGTAGGTGGGGGGCACGCAGAACCACCAGCAGCATCGGCAACATCGGCAGCAGCACCGGCAATGGCGTCACACCACCACGCTTGAGAACGCAGCACTACTGGACATCTGTGAAAAAGTGCTGCATAGCTCATCGGCTTCCTCTAGTATGAATATTTTGATTCTGTACATCGCATCGCTAACCTCACCTGTTGTTGTTCAGGTGAGCGCCCGTTCACTTGTGAGCACGAGGGCTGTGGATGGACGTTCACTTGCATGTCCAAGCTGCTGCGTCACAAGAGGTGGGTGCGCATCTTTCTTTCAAATGGTTCAGCACCCTTTGCTGTCCGTCGATTCAATTTGTTTTCCAGCCCGCCCGCGTTTTTCTGGTGTGGTAGCTTTTCTCATCGTTGGCACAAAGCGTTGGATTTGGATGGAGCCTGCGTGTTGTCGTCGCATTACCACGTCAGGACAGCCCTAGCGCATGCAGCCCGCCCACCGTCCCCCACCCAACCGTTCCCCGGCGTGCGTCACCAGGAAGCACGCCGACGAGCGGAGGTTCGCATGCCGGGAGCCGGGTTGCGGCAAGACCTTCACGAGGGCCGAGCACCTCAAGGGCCACACCATCACCCACTCGGGCACGCGGCCTTTCAGCTGCGACGTGCAGGGTGAGGGTTCACGTGTTCCTGCCATAGTCGCCCTACGTCTGTTGAACGTTTCTGTAAATTTGTAATTGTACTATGGAGCAAGGTTATAAGCGTTTGAGAAAAGAGATGATGGGGGTGGGGAATTCCAAAGTGGGGCAGTGCGAGGGATGAAGCAGAAAGTGTGGTGAGAGGGTGGGTTTGTGAGTAGGTGAATGAGTGAATGGTTGGGCGAGTGAGTGGTTGAGTAAGGGGTGAGTGAGCGGGCGAATGATTGAATGGTTGGGCGAGTGAGTGGATGAGTGAGTGAGTTGTTGTGACCTTCAGTGTGGTGATTGAACGCAGCAAGGATGATGAGACCGAGTCCTCAACTACGAGTGGAGAAATCAATGAGGTACAGTAGCCATGGTAGTAGTAGCTATAGAAGAGTGAAAAGGAGGCGACTGACCACTGGCAAGCAAGCGAGTGACTGGAGTGAGCATGCCTCCGCTTCATGGTGACTTTTCCACCCCGCAGGTTGCGGCGCCCGTTTCTCTGCACGCAGTAGCCTCTATGTTCACTCGCGTAAGCACGGTGCCGGCGGTGACAGCGAGGGCGGCGAAGGGCTGCGCTCGCAGTGCCCCGTGGCTACGTGCGGAAAGCTCTTTGCTTCCGTGCACAGCGTCAAGGCGCACATGATGAAGCTACACAACGTGAGCCCCGGTGAGTGGAGATAGGGCGGCACGCTGCGCGCCGTTGCATCACCACACCGGGCACCCTGTGCCGCCGCCGACGGGACTTGGCGGGGACCGGGTGCCGTTTGCGCGGTCGGCTGTCAGGCGTTGCGTTAAATCGCTCGTTAGAATTGGTTGTTGCGTTAGAGATTCACGCGTCAAAATGTTTGAATTAGTAGCAACACAGCCGAGCACGCATGTTTTATTACTGTCAGATTATGGATTAACTAAATTATATATTTTGATTGCGAGAGGTGGCCAAGATTTTGGGAACCCTTGATCCAGCAGTGGGTTGGTCATGGCCGATGATGGGAGAAGTGGTGGCGCAGTGATTAACCCGGCGACCTCGCTTCCAGTCCTCGCCATAACTCAGTGGCGAGTGAAATCATAACTGGTCCTGGGTTCAAACCATGACCAACCAGCACTGCCCAGTGTGGCGATGTGCATTCAACCACCCTCATAACCCGACACGGCGCGACGAGGCCTTCATCCGGGGGTGGATTGACGAGGCGTTGCCACGCGCGTGCCTGTCCTAAACTCCCACAGCCCAGTTCGCTCTCCTCGAGCAGTCCGGCTGCCTCGTCCCGGCCTGCGACCCGGACGATGACCCCAGTGGCGGCGGCGGCAGTGTCGACCCCAAGCTGCTGACGTCCAACCTCTCTTCTTCCTGCCTGACTGCAACCTCTGACCCCCTGAGCGGCGGGGGGTCGCCGCCGAGCTACGGGGACGACGTGCTCACGGTGGACGGCACAGCGATCGGCGGCGGTGCTCGCGGGCGCTTGTGCCGGACCTCGCCGCAAGATACCAAGCGAGGGGGCACGGAAGGAAGTGGTTCACCGGCTGGGCAGGGCCTGGCACAAGGTGGTGCCGCGCCGGCAGAACGGCGCCGGCAGCACCAGCAGCAGCACGGAGTGGAGGACCAGGGATTGATCCCAGCGGTCTCCTCGTCACCCTCAAGTGGTGCCGCCACCACCGCCAACACAGAGACGACCAGTGTCATTTGCCCGGGCCTGCTGGGAAGCTTGTGCATGAAGCTGGAGTCCACTGCCACGCTCGGCGCGGAGTTGCCGAGTCCCCCCCCTTCCTGTGCTGGTACAGAGACCGGCACCATTTTGGCGGCGGGCGGCCATGACACGTGTGCCATGCGCCAATCCTCGGTGGCGCTGTCCCACACGCCGCTGAGCCTCGAGATGCTGCCGTCATCACTGCCTCCCGCCGCTTGCGCCGAAGCTCAAGCGCTGGGGCTGCTGGCGCCGCTGGGGGGAGGGGGGGAGCAGGCCAAGGCGCTCGCACCGGCGTTCTGCGGCCTGGGATCGCTGAGTCCAGGGGAGGTGGACGTGGCGCTGGCATCGGTGCAAGCGCTGCTGGTGAGGTCGCGTGTGTTATTTTTGGATACTTTTTTTCTGCGGGGCCAGAGTTTCAACAGTTTGGTTCTGGCTTCCTTTGGCAAAGAGCCCTGCGCCGGCACAGCTTGGATTTGCCAGTGGAAAATTATTATACGTTTCCCTCACGTGTCCGTGTTGCCCTCGTGTGCTCGTCCGTCGCCTCAGGAGAGCGGGGGCTCTGCGCGCACCGACTACCGTTCCGTGCAGTTGGCCAAGCACAGGAAGCGCAAGATCGGTGCCGCCCCCTACAGCGCTGGTACCACACCTGGCACCGCTGTTCTCTGTGTCGATGCTTACACATGGGCTGCTTCGTAGCCCTGTGTAGCTACATCCATGTAGCCCAGCAGAACAGTTTAATTCTCAACTTGGTCCCCCATGTCGCGTTTTTAAAACCACGATCGTGCCGCAGCAGGCAGACCGGCGGTCTTATTTTTTCTTGGTGAATCGGATTCGCGCCTCTTTATTTTCCAGTAGTAGGGTGAAACTTTACCATACTGGTCAGTGCACTACAGGATGGGGAAGGTGCTGCTGATGTTGACCTTGGCTGGGACACGAACCCAGGTCGCTGGGTTCATAGCGCAGTGTGCAAAGTGCCAGACCACCGCGCTCCCGTATAATGAATTGCACATCTTAAACTTTATGATAATGGCTATTAATGATGACAATGATGATCGTGTTTACAATCACCAATGATGGTGGTAATGATGACACTGGTGATTATACCGACGGTGGGACATCTTGGCAGGGGCTTCTGGCAAGAAGAAGAGCAAATCAAGTAGGGCTGTGACGGCCGGAGTTACTGGTGCTTACTCTAGCGCGCTGGCGCTGCAGGACCCGGGTAGCACCGGCGCGCACTACCTTCAGGTGCAGATACTGCAGGTATGGCACGCGGCACGCATATCAGCTACACCTTCTGGCACGCTCGTGGTGTGGCGGTGTTCACGGAATTTTGGCGTTCGTGGTTGGTGCGGTGCTGCTCGTGGTGTGTGCAGGACGAGGCAGGCGGCGAGGGGGACCTGTCGTTTGGGCTGGGCTCGCAAGGTCCTCACTCGTCGCACTCCACGGACCTCCCCGTGCACATCCTGCAGGTGAGGTCACCCTCACTGAAGCCCCGCCGCATTTATACCGCGGTGGGGCCCGTTGGCGTTGTAGACGGGGTCAAGTTGATACCGCTGCACTTGGGCAGAGATGTGGACGCCACGTGCATTTGAGCGATCATGTTCACATGTTGGTGGTGCACGTACGTCGTTGCCATGTGGGTGACGTGTTGACAGGAGGGGGTCACACGTTTGCCAGTGTTTGAACAGTGATGTCAGGGAGGTCCCGATGCAGTGTGGTGGGCATGGGCCCCGACGCAGAAAATAAAATGGAGGCGAGGGGAGGGAGGCGAGCGGGCCCCCCTGTCAAATCTCCCCTCTTCATAGCAGCGGTGCCTGGGTTACTTTCGCGGACCCCGGTGCAGTTGCACTCCTTTCACACTCGATGGCCACGCGCCAATGCAGCGTGCTTATTTCCCTTATTCCAGGAACAGGCATCGTGCGCTACAGGCGAGGAGGAGGTGGGCGACTTTGGCCTCGTTCACCCGAGCAGCTCGCAGTTTCCGGGAAGCACCATCAACCTCCAGGACCTCGAGTAGACCCACAACAACTTACACCGGACCTGACAGCTACAGCCCCCCACCCCGAGTGCACGGTGACACCCACCACCACAGCGGTCAGCCGAACTTCGGCTGCAGCGCCCGACTAGCCCCGTGGGGCGGACGACGAGTCTGGGTTTCACAGGCCTGCCGCTTGCCTTCCCAGAGGACTTTGGAAGCGCGAAGGGGCTTCACGTGGAGAGGTTACCTCCACGGAGCAAGTTTACAAAGTGTACAGAATGTGAAGATGATGGTATTGGGGAGCTTGTGTGTTGTGTATCTGCGTGGTCATATGTGGGCGCTTGTACATAGGATGTTGGGAAATGGACAGACGGACGTTTTTTTAAGGACGCGTGCCTTTAATTGAAGAGTAAAGTGTACTTAAGGGACACACGGCTGCACCTGATAGCAAGGCGGCAGCATGGACAGATTCACGTGTAACGCCCACGTCATTTATTTAAATTCGTCGGTCACACACGCACACATCCCAGCTGTGAAACATGGAGACGTTTAAACCTGACAATCGCACCCCCATGTGCTACTTGTGTTTAACTGGGCGTTGAGCGGAGGTCACTCTGTCTGCCGGGTGTGGCTGGGCTAATCTGTGATAAAGTAGTTAGACTGCGGGGCTAAGGTTTATATGGACCGGCGTGGACTATCTCGACTTGGACTGCATTAAGTCTGGGCGATGTTTCCATGACCACTCTGCTTGAGTGAACCAGGCCAGTGCAAAAAAGAATTACATGGTGATCCATTCATAGCTACCCCATTGTTTCTAATGATCCCTCTTCTCAACTGGTGACTAAATATTGTGGAAGGAAGCTGTTACGGTTGAACAGAGTAGGAAAGTGGTAGCATTGATGGAGATAGGTGAGACGTGTCGAGATTTTGAGATGATCATCTCTATAAAACCTTCCTATTTTAGCGGGATGTCTATAACTGGGTCACCCTGTATTATGTTGCCTTGGGATCACATAACCTCACCCATGTCTACGTGCAATATTTTGTAAACGAAAATCTTTCGAGTGATAAAGGACGGTGGGGAAGCGAGGGGGAGATGGAACAGGGAGGGGCTAAGTCAACAGAGTATGGTGGTGGTGGAGTACGCAGATTCCCAGCCCAGGTGGAACGTCCCAGGGCGATTCCTGGGCCGGCAGGCAAGACGGGTGAGCTTGCGAGTGGTTGTGGGAGCCCCGCGCTAGGCCGAGTTGTTTTGGGCCGATCCAGGCTGGGGTGGGCCGAACGCGTCCATGGTACGCAGCACGAGGCCGAGATGATCAAGGTACGAGGAGACGGAGACGCGCAAGATCCGCGCCTCTGCAGCGCTCCAGCGGCTAACCACAGCGGAGAAAGAGCGGGCCACTGAATACACAGCACAATCCAGCACACAGCGGACAGAGAGCGGGCCACTGAACTCGCAGCACGTGTAGGGAACAAGCCAACACAGTGCAGTACACATACGGTACAGAGCACATCGCAGTAAAGCTCAGCACAGGTAGAAAACTATAGATCAGAACACAGTAGAGCTTAGCATAGATCGCAGTGTACAGAGCGCACAGCACAAAACGACACCGTATATACAACAGTTCACGACACCCAACACAATATGGACCACAACAGTACAGAGCACATCGCCCAAAGGCACACGCGCATCTCGTTGAGCCATCTCGCGAACTCCGGTCATCCTCGCAGTCGCGGCTTGTGGTTCGAACAAAGACGGTGGTCACCGCATATCTCGTGCGTTCAGATGCGCCGTCTGGAACGCTCTTTCTATATTAGCGCACCCGTCCACCCCTTATCAGTGCTCTACCTTGTTACAGACTATTTCAGACCTTATTTATCACCGTGCTTTTATCTCAACGTTCATCCTACAAAGTTCCATCGCAAGGGAGAAACACGAACAAAACAACGTTTTTTTGCCCGTATTGAAACGGCTGTACACCGTATGGACCTGCAAACTCAATTTCTCTATACAAGAATACGGGGTGAACCGTATGGGTTGCCAGGTTTGTATCAGGAAGCCAATGGAGCCATACACGTCGTTTAAATTTAGATTGGAAATTGATTTACAACCACGTGTGTTGTCCTTCCCTCGGCACCTCCGATTCACGCGTTTGGCTACATACGGTGCGAAAGAAGTTCAACGTCGTAGGACAGCGCTGTCCTACCAGACAGTCTCGCTCCCTTCACCTGATGAAGGCCGCTTGTGTTGTGGCCGAAACGTCGTGAGAATATTGTGTTATTTTATCAATTTATTATTTTATTCTCATTCTACGTGACTTTACCGAAAGAACCAAAGAAGAAGTTCAACGTCCTCCGTGGGGTGCTGAGCACACGGAGCACAAAGGTTCGCGATTGCCGATTGCTCCTCGCAGGGGACATCCAAGAACCCCAACGGCACTCTTCCCCTAGACCCCCTCGGACCCCTTCAGGACCCCCCGCTCGGACCCCTTCAGGACCCCCCGCTCGGACCCCTTCAGGACCCCCGACCCGGCACCCACACGCCCAGGGTGCCCCCTCCAAGGCGCAGCTCCTCCACGCGGGAGATGCCGCGGCCGCGCGGCTCGGGGTCTGCGCTCAGGGCCGCCCAGGCGATGCGCGCCTCGCGTGCCGAGGGGAACGGCACCTCCAGCTCGCTGGAGTCCTCGCGTTAAGGTTCCACAAGTGAGGCGTGGGGGACGAGAGAGACAAAGGCGGAGTTGGGGGAAGGGGATGTATGGGGTTGCGGCGGCGTGGGGAACGGCATCATCGGCTCGGGTTGCGGGGTCCCAATATTGAATGTCTCGCACGGTCGCACCTTAGGCGGCTGTTCTAAAGCGCGGCCGCCTCCTGCCCCCTAATCACATCGTTACACACGTTGTTGTTTTACACTGTTGTTGAGAACATCTCACGGTGGTTGTCAAGTATCCCCGACTTATTGCTTTGGCCACCGATGACCCCCCTCTCCCTGCCCCCACGCGAGTTACGCTGCAGGTGTAAATTTCAATCATTCATCACAAAAGTGCTGTTAATGTAAAGCCATTGCTTCCTTCCTTCTGCCAGACGCCGTCGCAATTCGAAGGTGTGGCGCGCGCGCGTTCCTGTAACAGTGTAACTCTTTTTAGATTCGGGGCTTACTTTCAGCCGAGTCTGCACACTCTGAACATACAGGGTGATTCAACATTTTGTACACACATGCCTATCGTCATAAATATAATGTTGATAGCTTGTCAACGCATGCCTGGAATCTTCTCCAGGTTGTCTCCAGAGCCCAGAGGGCACAACACTTCTTGTGTTATCGTTGCAAGTTCTGAGAAGTGTTTGCATGTGTGTTTTTTAAGCACCCAGTATCCCCACCAACCGGCACACCACGTCGGGGGAAAACCTATCGCTATGCGCGTGCGACCAATTGCCCCGTGCCATCTCTCCCGGTTTTACCGGGGTGATGCCGGATCCATGCCCTGTACTCACTGGGGTACTCAACCTATACACTGCGGGCAGGAGACGGCAGTACTGTGCTGTCCTATAATATATAACCTTCTAGGCTTCCCTTGCTGCCAAACTCGCAACGACACTCCCGGCGAGGTGCGCTCAGCTAACCGCCGCACGCGGCCGCCGCACAGGCGTGGGAGGGGGGAGAGGCCCTCATCCAGCAGTGGATTGGCATCCACCGGTCTCTCGTAATCGCCACTGCCCAAGCGAGGGAAGGATACAAGCCCAGCGGCTGCTCGCCCATCGTGTCGGGGGTGGGGACCCCCGCGGGAGGTCCGAAGCGGGGTGCGCGAAGACCTGGAGCAGCGCCGCCTTTCCACGTGCGGCCCGGAACTCAGACGGAAGCCGGAACCAAAGACCCACAGCGGTTTTCTGGGGGGGGGGGGGGGACGGACAACTTCATTGGTGCGCGCCTATTTAAATGAGATCGCGGTGGAAGGCGGTGTGCGGTCACGTGGCCCCAGGCGCGGCCATGTTGCTACGGGAATGTCGCCATGGTTACCTGCGGTCCCCCCTGTGTGACGTCATCAAGGCGTCGCAGCCACTCGCCCCTTACCAAGATGGCGTCCGAGATGCGTGTGTGAGGGTGGCGACCGTGGGCCCCGTGACTCCGCCCCCCCCGCGTCAGACGCCTCCAGGCAGGCGCTGTCGGAGCGGGCGACTCGGAAGCGATGGAGGTAGGCGGGCGGGCGGGCGGGCGAGTGCGGTGCACATACACGAATCCTCGCCCACCTGTGGCAGCCGTGTCGCTATCCACCTGTAGATTGTGTGCGTGACCTTAATAGCCTTGGTCCATCTCTCGTCCACAGCCTTGCTGTAGTTTATTGTCGATGCCCACCTGTGTCGTCGTCCACCTATGCATTTGTCCATCTTTAGCCTTGTCCACCTCTCGTCCATATCCACCTGTAGCTTCGTGTCCACCTTTGTGTCAACCTATGTCCGTGTCCCCCTCTCGTCCGTATCCGCCTGTAGCTTGCGTGTCCACCTGCAGCTTGCGTGTCCACCTGCAGCTTGCGTGTCCACCTGCAGCTTGCGTGTCCACCTGTGTCCGATTTCCGCCAGTGATTGCGTGTCTCAAACCGTGCCTTGTCCTACTGGCTCTGGCCGTGCCCACACCGAGCGGCGTAGCCACCACAGCTGACGCGACAGCTCGCGGCGAGTGACCGCACAGAATTATTCATTTGATAAACATTGATTTATTTATCTTATAAACATTACCGTGGCAATTAGCGTGGAAATGACAGGGCTGCAGTTGGATTATTTTTTTTGTGTGACCAGGAGAGAACTCCAGAGACCAGGATAGAGGAGTTATCACCTTGCAAGAGAGTCCCGGGTCACCAAAATGACAAAAGCAAACAGCGGCAAGATCAAAGCAGCAAGTTGACCTCAGTGCACAACACCCGCGGGGTTCGCCTTGGTACCAAATGGGCGCACAGTGCAGTGTAGAATTCTCAAACCGGTTACTCTAATTTTCTTTTCACGATCATTTTGGTTTCCGAGTGAAAACAGTACTTATTGTTCACTAAAGAAATATCAAGACCACAAAAGTGATCATCCAGCAACAAACAGCAATTTTGAGGGTGAAATAGAGAAGTGGAACACGATTTTTTTTTATTTAACAAGGTGATTAATATTGTCAGAGCTTGGGGAATAGAGACGATGATGATGATGACGGGAGAGAGAATTCCAAAGTGGAGCAGTGTTGAGGCAAGAAGCAGAAAAGTTTGTGCCCTGCAGTGTGGAGAGTGAGTGGGCGTTGTTGTGGGGAGCGGTGGTGCAGCGGTTAGCGCGCTGCGCTACGAACCAGGCGACCGGAGTTCCATTTCCACTCACGGTCAACGCCAGTGACCATTATCTGAACCGGTCCTGGGCCTCCCCTAGATCTACTCGGCCTCAAACGAGTAGCTGGTGCGGTGTGTAAACAGCACTGCGGAGACAAAGGTGGCCGGCGTGATGCTGGCCACACCATCCCCTCGTGGTGTGTCACGAGGGGATGGTGTGGTCAGAACCTGCCCCAAAAGTCTGTTAAGTATTTAAGGGGATCTTTGTCTTTGTTGTTGTGACCGAGGGTGGCGGTCCACCGCAGTGTGAATGAGACGAGACGGTGTCGAATAGTCCTTAACATGGGTGGAGGAATAATTGAGTGAAGTTCAGAGGAACAGTAACCATGCTAGTAGTAGCGTTAGAGTGATACGGAAGTGACTGAACGAATCCTGGATCATCAATCACCCCGACCGCTTGGCGTTGAATTATATCCGCTGGTGCAGTGAGGTACCGTAGGAACTGGCTGCTGCAGCCCGGGTACAGTGCTCCAAGCCGTGGGAATTGTCTGTGGTGTGTGGCGAGTAGCCCTGGTGAGTGTCTCTCTGTGCCTCTCAGAATCTAAAGCACGTGAAGGTGGTGATGGCCGCGTTCAGAGACGTGGCGAAGCAGCCGGTCGCTCTGCGCGCCAGGATTGGTCCCCAGATGAGGTCTCGCCACGGGGGGGCTTACAGCCTGGTGCACACCGGTGAGAGCGTCGCCCTTACCTCACCAGCCTCGACTCACCCACGCGCACTCACCTCGCCAGCCCTCGTTTACTCACCCACACCGCAGCAGCCCTGAATCGCCTCCAGCTCAGTCGTACTACCTGACTCACGCACACTTCACCAGCCTGGGCCCTCCCAGGTCTCACCGCACCTCACCAGCTGTCAGAAACACATCACTACACATCACCCACACCTCGCCAACCTGTGACCTCACCCAAATCTCATAACCGCTGCCCGGCACCCCCACCGCCCTTCCGTTGCGTGTGACACAGAGTGGTCCTACCGGGACGTGGAGCGAGCCGAGTCCGTGGTCTGCAGCCTCAGCTACAGCGTGTTCCGCGATGGGGCCACCATTGTGGACACCAGCCCAGCGGGGGGGCCCACGGAGATGCACGCGGAGTGAGTGTGGGGTGCTCCCCACGAGGAAGTGGCTCGAGCTGAGTGGATTGGCCAATTAAGTTAGTTGTTAATCAACTATAAATTCTAATCCATTACTTTTTTTCTTTTTGGCCAATCGGGCCCTCTCTGAAAATGGAAGCCGCTTCTGCATCCTGCCCCCCGAAGGCGGGAAACCCCCTACAAGCCACGCCAAGCACGATTATAACGCTGATAACATCTCCAAGCCCCTCCCAGCAGCACACGTGGGGAACAGACGTGAAACTTGTTCCCTGTTTAAGTTGAGTAATCGAAGTGGCAATCGGTAGAGGGACTGAATGCTCGAGTAATCGGTTCAATTCCTCAACTGAGTGGACAAAACGACGAAAATAGTTGTCGGAAAAATGTCTGACACCGCACGCCGTAGAAGTCACACCCAGGTGAATGTGTCCAACCGCCTGGCAGGCTTGCCCTTAGCTAAGGGTCCTACCCAGTCTGCCATTCACATTGTGTGCGTCATTTGTGTGTGTGTGTGTTTGTCTGCGTGTGTGACCCGAGTTTGATTTCCGCTCACAGCCACCAACACCAGTGATGATTATCTGAACCAGTCCGGTATTTCCCCTCTTTAGACTCAGCCTCAAATGAGTACCTGGTGCGGCATGTCAACATCACTTGGGCAACAAAAGTGGCTGGGCATGGTGCTGGCCACCCACCGCCTCGTGTGCCATGCCGGCTCACTAACAGTTCTTGCCCGAACAGTTTACTAAGGCTAAACGAGGGACCTTTGTCTTTGTGTCTGTGAAGGCTGAAGCGCAGCGTGTCCCCATCAGGGACTCTAACCGCCATTCTGCGCAAGATTGGGGGAAAAGGCGGCGCAGATGAGAAGCAGTTCCTCGAGGTGATGGCAGTGATTGTCTGCGTTACGCCACGTACCATTACAGCAAATACCGTACTGTGTTGCACCAGACACGGGACATCGCCGTCGCATGCCGTTAGCATCTCACCGTGGCGGTTGTGCCGTCGTGTGCCGTAGATCTGGAATGGGAACCTCAAGGAGAAGAACATCGACCTGGAGGCTCTGGAGCAGCACGGGAAGTTCTACGATGACGGTGAGAACATGAGGAGTGTGGCGAGGGGAGACCGTGCGTGCGTGCGTGCCGTGGGGTGCAGCGTGACCCGTGGTAGAAGTGCGGGGAGTTGTGGTGTGACTCGAGGCTGGTGCGCCGCGTGCCGCACACAGGGCAGTTTGGTGTGCTGGCCTGGTCCAACTCGGAGTCTCACCTTCTCTACGTGGCCGAGAAGAAACGCCCCAAGGGGACAACGTTTTTCCAGAGTCGCCCACCCAGCGCCAACACCGCCCAGACAGACGCCCCGGTAACACACACCTCCTTCACACAGAGACCCCTTAGTACGGACACCCTTTAGACAGACCCTGGTACCACAGACCGACAAAAAGCTAAAGTATTATTTACTTAATTTGTTCTGCATAAATGTTCAGTTTGCGGCTGCTCTACATGTGCATGTGTGCGTGTCTGGTGAATCCCCCCCGTGTGTGCGTGATGTCTGCTATGTGTGTGTGGTGTCCCACCGTTTGTGTGTGTGGTGTCTCGCTCCTGTGTATGTTTCTGCTGTTTGAGTGTGTGATGTCCCCCTTGTGTGTATGCATCATGTCTCCGCTGTGTGCGTGTGGTGCTAGGGAGACAAGTTCCTGTTCCGCGAGGATTGGGGTGAGGCGCTGGTGAACAAGAGCGACCCCGTGCTGTGCATCCTGGACGTGGTGAGCGGCACCGTGAGCGTACTAGACGGGCTCCCGCCGCACATCAGCCCGGGACAGGTGGGCCACTCAACACATGTACACGATGCTCACCACCCCACTCAACACACCGCTCCGCACCCGATTCGCGTCATTCACTCGCTGCGCGAAATCTGCGCTCGCTATAGTTCGTATTCATTATTATGACGTGTGAAGGTAAAGGCGCATCCCTGAAAATTCTTACTCGTGTCACTGTTGATGCGGTGTGTAGTAATCATTCAGCAATAGGGAGACAAAGGTGGCCGGGAATTGTGCTGGCCATCACCAACCCTACTCTTTGGTTCTATACGGTAAAGTCACGTAGGTAAAAAATAAAATAACAAAAATCACGACGTTTCGGCCACAACACAAGTGGCCTTCATCAGGTGAAGGGACCGTGCTGTCATGAGGACAGCGTTGGAGTGAAAACAGCCAAGCCCAGGTCGCGTCCTTTAAGCTGTGTGGGAGGAAGCAAAACGCTTTGACAAAGGAATTAGCATAAAATGAGCATGATGTACGTAGGAGGTGCATGGGCCATGATGGACCAGGAGCGGGTGGGGACCATGACGGACCAGCAGCGGGGGGGGGGGGGGAGTAGAGTTGAGTGAGTGGAGTGAGTGATTTTGTTATTTTATTTTTTACCTACGTGACTTTACCGAATAGAACCAAAGACTATGGATCCTTGCAGTCACGAAAGCTTCCAATCTAGAATCACCAACCCTATCTTGCCGTGTGCCGGCCTTAATAGGTGCTCTGCTAACAGCACTTGCCCCAACAGTTTATTAAGGCTATCGTGGAATCTTTGTCTCCACTCACTCCACTCACTCACTCCACTCACTCACTCCACTCACTCACTCTACTCCCCCCCCCGCCCCACCCCCGCTGTTGGTCCGTCATGGTCCCCACCCGCTCCTGGTCCATCATGGCCCATGCACCTCCTACGTACATCATGCTCATTTTATGCTAATTCCTTTGTCAAAGCGTTTTGCTTCCTCCCACACAGCTTAAAGGACGCGACCTGGGCTTGGCTGTTTTCACTCCAACGCTGTCCTCATGACAGCACGGTCCCTTCACCTGATGAAGGCCACTTGTGTTGTGGCCGAAACGTCGTGATTTTTGTTATTTTATTTTTTACCTACGTGACTTTACCGAATAGAACCAAAGAGTGTGGATCCTTGCAGTCACGAAAGCTTCAAATCTAGAATCACCAACCCTATCTTGCCGTGTGCCGGCCTTAATAGGTGCTCTGCTAACAGCACTTGCCCCAACAGTTTATTAAGACTATCGTGGAATCTTTGTCTTTGTGTGCGTGCAGGCGCTGTGGGCACCGGCGGACACTGGGGTGCTGTTTGTCGGCTGGAGCTCCGCACCGGGCCGCCTGGGCATCACGTACTGCACGAACCGCCGCTCAGCGCTCTACTACATCGACCTCTCCGGGGCACAGTGTGGTGAGCAGTGTGTGTGAACAGTGTGTGTGAACAGTGTGTGTGAACAGTGTGTGTGAGCAGTGTGTGTGAGCAGTGTGTGTGAGCAGTGTGTGTGAACAGTGTGTGTGAACAGTGTGTGTGAACAGTGTGGTGAGCAGTGTGTGTGAGCAGTGTGTGTGAACAGTGTGTGTGAACAGTGTGTGTGGTGTATGGCGTGCTGTGTGGTGAGCAGTGTGTGTGAACAGTGTGTGTGGTGTATGGCGTGCAGTGTGGTGAGCAGTGTGTGTGAACAGTGTGTGTGAACAATGTGTGTGAACAGTGTGTGTGGTGTATGGCGTGCAGTGTGGTGAGCAGTGTGTGTGAACAGTGTGTGTGCAGTGTGGTGAGCAGTGTGTGTGAACAGTGTGTGTGAACAGTGTGTGTGAACAGTGTGTGTGAACAGTGTGTGTGAACAGTGTGTGTGAACAGTGTGTGTGGTGTATGGCGTGCAGTGTGGTGAGCAGTGTGTGTGAACAGTGTGTGTGCTGTATGGCGTGCAGTGTGGTGAGCAATGTGTGTGGTGTATATGTGTGGAGTGCAGTGTATGTGTTGTGCATTGTGTTTTTGGGGGTGGAGTGGTTTACAGTGGTTAGGATACTGCCACAAATATGGCCACTGGAGTTTGATTCCCACCCATGGCCAACATCGGTGACGTTTATCTGACCCGGTCCTGGGCCTTCCCTCAGTCACCTCGGCCTCAGTACCTGGTACAGTGTATAAACATCACCACGAGGGAGACAAAGGCTGTCAGGCCTGGTGCTGGCCACAACACCCTCTAGTGCGCCGTGCTGGCCTTCCTATGTGCTGTTCGCTAACGGCACTTGCCCTAACGTTGTTAAGGCTGTAGGGGGCATCTTTGTGTGTTGCAGTGCGGCTGTCCGAGGGCCAGGAGGATGAGACGTGCGTGTGGTCGCCACGGCTCAGCCCGGACCATTGCCGCGTGGTGTATCTACAGAACCCAGCGGGGGGCCCCCACCACCAATGCAGCCAGCTCCGCGTGGTGCGTGATCCCCGCCTCCCCACCCCCACCATGAGCACTGGAGACTCAAATGTGGCCGGGTATGGTGTCGTTCAGGCCTTCAAAGGTGCTTGCTCAGAGCACTTACCCCAAGCAGCATATTAAAGGCTACGTGGGTGATCTTTGTCTTTGTGTGTGTGTGTGCAGTACGACTGGTACACGAAGCAGACGCGCGTGGTTGTGGATATCGTGGCTGCCCCGGAGTCCGGTGAGTGTCACGTGACACTGCCCGTGCCTCGCCACGTGACGTCGCAACGGCCGCTGATACTGCACTGGGCATCCTGCGTGCCACATGTTCTGTGCGTGTCGCATGTCTCGACTGCTCGTCCTGTCCCATGTTCCCACGTGTGCATCGTGTGTCCCATGCATATCAACTGTCCCAAGTGCACGTGCATCGCACGTATCACATGTTTCATGCTGTGTATCCAGTTATATGTGTGTTCCGTGCATGTTACGCGTGCCGTGTATCAATGTTCATACGAGTTTAGAATTTTGTAACGTGCTACAAAGTAGTTTTTTACTGATTCCCTTAAGAGGGAAAGATTTAGAGGCACGGGGAAGCACAAAGAAGTGGAGGGCAACTAGGATTGGCTCCAAATAATTGCCCAAGCTCTGCGGTCCTATATCGGCATGCTCAGCCAACTCCATCAACGAGTGTGTACACACGTGGGAGAAAACCCGAGTACCCAGAGAAAACCCACTTGCCGAATTGCGATCGTACTCTGGCCAAAGACAAGGATATGGTGACCTTGACACCCGCAGGTTGGGAAAGGAGTTTATCGAGTGTGTGTGTGATCCACCAACCCTCGCTGACTCCACAGTATTGAGTTACAGGCCATGTGCGACATAGCCACTAGCGCCACTGTAGCGCGTGGTCAAGTGTTCCCACCGTGTGTGCTGTGTCGTGCTTCCGTTCAGCGGACGCCTTCCCGGGCCTGTACTGCGCCGAGCTGCCAACTCGCTGCTGGGCCTCTGACAGCCAGAGGGTGGTTGTGGCCACGGCATGGAGGAGCCGCCAGGTGAGGACATCAGTCGGCGTCCTGGCGTTCCCATCTCCTGGCATCCCGGCGTTCTGGCATCACAGTGATTGTGTCCCTCTGGTCTAGCGTCCTGGTATCCAATTATTCTACTGTACGGGTATTCTGGCATCCTGATTTTTCCAAATATCAGTGCCCCGTCATCCTGGTTTTCCAGTGTTTCAGTGTCCTGGTGTTCCAGACTCCCTGTATCCCGTGTGCCATGTTCCAAAAGTGCTAGTGTTAGTATCCCTGTATAATACGTCTCGACTCTCTGGCGCTGACCAAACGCCACGCTGACGTGTGTGCGTGTGTGCAGGAGCTGGTGGTGGTGGACACGGAACATGGGGACGTTACTCCCATCACTGCAGGTACCGGTACCATGGCACCAATCCTACAGGACTGATCCCATAGTGTCGAGCGATACTTCAAATGTTCTTGGGCCTCCTTAAATTAGTACCTGGTGCCATGTGTAAAAAAACTTGGGGGAAACAGAGGTGGCCAGGGCTTGGCGCTTACCACACCATGCCCTCGCGTGCAATGTTGGCTTTCATAGGTGCATACTAACAGCACTTGCTCTAGCAGCCTGATTGTCTATATGGGGATCTTTGTGTTGTGTATGCGTAGAGGGAGATCAGTCTGCTGGCTGCTGGAAGCTGCTGGATATCGACGCTCAGGATCTCATGGTGGTAGCACGCTCCTCCCCCAGCTGCCCTTCTCACCTGGTGAGCTTCACTCGCACGCACGCGAATTTGGCGAGGTTGACGTTCCCGCTGTGCGATGAGGGTTGATGTGGGCGAGGTGTGCCCCAGGTCGCCGGGTTCCTCCCCGCGCGCTCCCCCGACTCCCCCGTCCTCTGGGCGTCGCTGGACACGACCGCTGCTGCTGTACCGTGTGACCCAGCGGCCGTGTCATGTGACCATGGGCTGCCCCCTCTCCTGGTGCCACCGCCGGGCCTGGCGGACGTCAGCTGGAGTGTGCTGAGGTTAACTCCGCCCGCCGAGCAGCAGAACAAGGAATTCCGTGAGTTACCGTGGTTTATTGGGCTCGAGTCGCCACCGAATCATCATCATCTGTTCTTTGAGATCGCACCCCAGCCAATCACAAAACAAGTAGTCCAGAAGAGCCAACGGAATTGAGGAAAGCACAGTGGAACGGAGTACCGCAGATACGTCACAGCACGAGCAGCAGCACATGTGAATCTAGTAGAATCACATTCGAGTTTACGGTCTCTGTGCGAGTCTATCCTCTCTGTGTGAGTCTGTGCGAGTCTATAGGTGGTTATGCGAGTTTATGGGTCTCATCTCAATAAAGTAGTTTGTTGATCGTACAGAAACCGCGTTGTGCGAAAAGTGTTCCCAAATAGAAGCGTGTTATAGTGAAAACGCGTTACGTGAACACCGCACGTTAAGCGAGGACTTGGCGTACTTCTATGCTGCCACGGCTGCGCTCCCCGCCTTCAACCTACGCCAACCATCACGATGCAGTTGCTTTTATGGTTGTGGGGTGGCTGGTGGACAGTATCTGCCACGATAGACTCTGTGGAATCTTTGTTTTTCCCACGCAGCTGAGCTGGACTATGAAGCCATCCTCGTCTGCCCCTGGAAGCCCGGAGCGGAGGTGACCAACAAGAAGGTTCCCCTGGTCGTGTGCCCTCACGGTATGCGGCGAGGCGTGTACCATCTGTGCGCACACACGGTGTCTGTGTGTAAGCACGTGGTATGTGGCACACGGAGGAGCGTGACTGTGTATCCATGGTGTGTGTGTGTGTGTGCGTGCATGTGGTGTGGACGAGGATTGCTGGCTGTGCGTGTCTGCCTGTCTCAGTGTCTTGGTGCTCTCCATGTGTCTCTGCGGGTCCCCGTGTCTCGGTTTTCCGCCACAGGAGGTCCGCACTCCGTGTTCGTTGCCGAGTGGAGCCTCAACACAGCTGCGCTGGTCCAACTCGGCATGGGCGTCCTCCTTGGTGAGTAGCAACTCAAGTGCTCGCTCGCTCGCCCGCCTGCTCGCCCGCCCACTCACCCGCTCACCCAACCCATTTAATCACTCACGTACCCACTCGGCCACCCATTCACTCACCCACCCACTGTCTCAACCTCTCACCCACTCCCTCACTCTTGCGCCGCCTCTCTGGCCCCCGCGGGGTGCGTCCCCCTCTGTCGCCCCAGTTAACTACCGCGGATCCAGCGGATTCGGCCAGAACAGCATCCGCTCCCTCCCGGGGAACGTGGGGATGCAGGACGTGCAGGACATGCAGGTCAGTGGAAGGGTCGTCGGTCGGGTCGTCGGTCGGGTCGTGGTATTGGGTCGATGGCTCGGGTCATGGGTCGGGATTGGTTGGGGTCAAGGGAGTTGGACCGCAGGTTAGGTTGGGTTTCAGGGCCGATGAGAGATTGGGTCAGGGATCAGGTCGCGGTTTGGGTTGCAGGGTTAGGTCAGGAATGGTGGAGTGCAGCTGCAGCAGGTGGATGTGGAAATACGCTGCCTGTGGGCTAGAAAAACGTAGAGGTGTTATGTGTGTGTGTCCCTGTGTGTGTGTGTGCGTGCATCTCTTTGTGTATGCATGTGTTCATGTGTATCTGAAAGCGTGTCTGTTTGTGTGCGTGCGAGTATATGCGTCTCTTCGTCTTTGTGCCGGTGGCACTACACGTGTGCGCGCACGTTCGCACGTCGCCGTCTGCGTAGTTTACGTCAGCATGCGTCACACACACGCGCGTCACACATTTGCTCTTGCGCCACGCAGCACGCTGTCACGACAGTGCTGGCGTCTGGCGTAGGCGACCCGGCCCATGTGTTCCTTGTGGGCGGCTCGCACGGAGGGTTCCTGTCGGCGCACCTGATTGGACAGTTCCCGGGCTTCTACCAGGCGTGCGCCCTGCGCAACCCTGTCATCAACATCGCCAGCATGGTCGGGGCCTCCGACATCCCAGACTGGTGAGTGGGGGGGGGGGGGGTGGGGGCCCGCACGCACGCACACACGCACACACGCACACACGCACACACGCACACACGCACACACGCACACACGCACACACGCACACACGCACACACGCACACACGCACACAAGACAAAGGGTTCCCCGTATAACCTCTAACAGGCTGTTGGAGGCAAGTTCTGTTCGTCAGTAGCACCTGTGAAGGCTGGGCCCAGCACATGGGCCGGTGGCATGGCCAGCACCACGCCCAACCGTCTTTATCTCCCAAATGCTGATGTTTCATACCCACTGCAGCAGGTACTCGTTTATGACTGAGTTGACCACACTGCTCTTCAAACCCGGCGACCCGAGTTCGATGCTTACGGTCAACGCCAGTGACGATTATCTGAACTGGTCCTGGGCTTCTCCTAGGTCGACTCAGCCTCAAATGAGCACCTGGTGCAGTGTGTAAACATAGCCACTGGGGAGACGAAGGTGGCTGGACATGCCGGCCTGCATAGGTATTTGCTAACAGCACTTGCCTCATGAGTCTGTTAAGGCTACACGGGGGATATTTTGTCTTTGTAGGTGCGTGGTGGAGGCTGGTTTAGGTGAATACAGCGCAACCCAGATTCCCACCGCGGAGATGCTGGCCGCGATGCTCAAGCGCTCACCCATCGTGCACATCGCAAAGGTACACACACCTGTACTCCTATACTTACTCTCACTTCTACTCACTCCCCTACTCACACATGTACTCTCACTACTCACTCGCACCTCTACTCATTTGTACACACCATTATACAAAGATCCCCCATATAGCCTTTAACATGCTGTTGGGGCAAGTGCTGTTACTGAGCACCTATTAAGGACGGCACGGCGGGTGGCCAACAACATGTCCTGCAGCCTTTGTCTCTCCAGGGCAGCTGTTTAACACACCGCACCAGCTACTCATTTAAGGCCTTGGGGAGGCCCGACACTGGTTCAGAAAAACACAAGTGTTATTGGTCATGAGCGGGAATCGAACTCGCGTCATCAAGTTCATCACGTAGCACGCTAATTGCTATACTACCGCTTTCCACAAAACTTTATACTCGCCAGTACAGACAGATCCCCTGTATCGCCTGCGCAGGCTGTTGGGAGGTGCAAATGCTGTTAGTTAGCGAGCACCCATTGAGGTCTCGCCCACCACTGCACACTAACGTGACCTCACACTTTCCGAGTTGCTCACCCTGCACAAGCAGCAGCACAGGTGTGTGCGAGCGTGGGATTGTGCAATTGTGATCCTGGGTTACAATGAACGAGGCGGCAGAGCTTTGGTAAAGTAGGTGGAGCCTGCCTCGCAAATGTGGTTGCTGTGGTAAGTTTGACACGGTTGCCGTGGTAACAGGTTCGCACCCCAGCGCTGATCCTGCTGGGTGAGGGCGACCGCCGCGTGCCGCCGCAGCAGGGACACGAGCTGGAGCGGGCACTGCGAGCACGCGGGATCCCCGTGCGGTATGGCATGCGCGTCACGACTCCACGTCACAACACGCGTCACAACACGCGTCACAACACGCGGCACAACACACGCATCACGACAGACGTCACGTGCATCCCCGAGTGTTGACGCGTCCACGTGTCCCCCATGTGTCCCCCATGTGTCCGTTGTATCTGCAGGCTGCTGTCGTACCCGGACAATAACCACGCCCTCTCCAAAGTGGAGGCCGAGGCCGACGCCTTTGTCAACACGGCGCTGTGGTTCGGGGTGCATCACGGATAGGGCCTCCACCACCGCCTCCTCCTCATCCCCCGCGGGCCGTTCCTCGCACACCACGTGACGGCGCTGCTTAGGGCGGAGAGTTCTGAACGTAAATTTTTTCTCATATCACTTGACCCCGGTAGCACGGTTAGAATTAAATTGGGAAGAAAAAGACAAAAAAAATGTTTTAATCTTTTCACCATTTTGGTGACCTTGATTGCCCTTTGGGACCGATTAGGGGATCGGAATGCATGGGAATGGGTCGGGTCACATCGGGGTCGGGTGAGGTCAGATTGACCTCACTGTGAGCTGATTTGTAGTGTTGAGTGAAATTACAACGTGCGTAGTTCTTCACATGCGGTTCTTGGTGTGTTTTTATTGCGTGCGAGTTCATTACGCGTGGGTATCAAGTGAGTTCTGTGTGCGAGGACTCCTCCAGTGGGAGAAGATACAACGCCACTGCATTATGGTAGCATCTGGGTTCATACAGCGGCGTCTAAACGCAACCGCATCTCAAGAAGCTGTTGCAGAATCCGTAGGAATATTTTTTTTAGAAGCAGTTTGTCACAGGTTCATAGGTGCAGGATAAGAGAAAGTCGAGAGGCTGGAGTGCGTGGAGCGGAGTAGAGTTAGACGGTGCGGGAGAGGCAGGAGAGTCCGTGGAAGGGAGTAGAGTAGGATGGTAGAGGAGTGTGTATGGAGGGGAGTCGAGTGAGATGGGAGGGCATAGGGGAGTGTGTGGACAGGAGTTTACAGCAATCCAAATTCTTCGAGCATCTAAATGCAACTGCATCTGTACATGCCTAAAAACAGCAGCCGGCACAGGGAGGTATGTACATTGACGTGAGGTGCAAACTCAATTGCACTCATAGAACAGCGTGGCTTGCTCCAGTCTCGTGCGCCAATATGAATCGGGTTTCAGAAACACCACGTTCAGTCATGAAAAGCACTGAACTCAAAATTGACAAGTGCACAAAGCAGCATGGAGAGGAGCGCGCTAGAAATTGCACCGTGAGACGGAGGCACACGTGGATCAGAAAACACGCACAGGTTAGAGAAATCACTTTGATCGTTAACCGGCAGTCGATAGAACGGAGACGATGAAAGCATGGGGATACACACAAGCTGGACATTACACTGACAAAAGAGGAACGCGTGGATCAGAAAACATTAAAAGGCGAGAGACTTTGAATATTGAGATGGGTTTGGGCAGCCCACGTTGCTAGAATGGACGATGGCCGATGGTGGAGACTTAACGACTGAGTGGCAGCCGAAGGAGGGAACGCACCCGAGAAGACTCCAATGCATAGCAAGTCGTAGTGACTGCTGTATAAATGCAACTCATTATTTGGCGATGATGCTGCGTCGATAGTGATGCACAAACAAAAAAACCCCAAACATTACTCAATAACAGTGTCGCTTTAAGAGAACGAAATATATAACTGGCGACGTTTTGGACAATGACCCTTCATAACGCAATGAATGGTTTGTCTTATAAAGGGTCATTGCCCGAAACGTCGACAGTTGCCGTGAATATAACGTTTCCCTTGAACACAAAGGCAAAGATCCCCCGTATAGCCTTAACATACTGTTGGGGCAAGTGCTATCAGGGATTAGCACCTATGAAGGTCAGCACGGCACACGAGGGGATGGGTGATCAACACCACGCCTGGCCGCCTTTGTCTCCCCATAGGTGATGTTTACACACCAGGTACTCATTTGAGGCCGAGTCTACTGAGAGGGGACCCATGACCGGTTGAGAATCGTCACCGGTGTTGGCCGTGGGCGGGAATCGAACTCGGGACCGTCGACTTTCGTAGCGCTAACCGCTGCTACACTACCGCTACGCACTAGCTTGAACACACGGACACGCCAATACAACTTGCCATTCGCCACTATGTGACAGTGGCGTCACCACGGCGCCTGTGCCAGGCTAGGTGCACTTTGAGGCTTACCACGTGAAGTGTCGAAGGCTCGCTAAACGGGAGGTCACGGGACAGACCCAGGTGCCATGAGATGACTGCCAGATGCAGCAGCAGCTGTGTCCTCTACTGTGCCAACTCGCTGCATTTTATCCGCCCGGCGTTCCGCTCGTGAGCGTCGCTCCTCAATCCTCCGTTGCTGTTGGAGGGCGACTGCGTCCAACTGCCCAGCAGCAGCATTCTTCAGAGGAGGCTCGTGGAGGACGCTGCTGCTCGTGGAGAACGCACACGGACACAAAAAAAGACAAAGATCCTCCCTATAGCCTGAACAGACTGTTGGGGCAAGTGCTGCTAGCGAGCACCTATGAAAACAGGCAAAGCACACGGGGGGTGAGGCAACAACCCCGCCTGGCCTCCTTTGTCTCCCTCGCGGCGATGTTTACACACCGCACCGCCGGGAACTCGCGTGAGGCTGAGTCGACCTCGGGGAGGCACAGGACCGGTTCAGATAATCGTCACCGGCGTTTGCCGTGAGCGGGAATCGAACTCGGGTCGCCGGCGTACGTAGCGCAGCAGCGCTAACCGCTACACTACCGCTCCCCACACAACACAGAGAAACACACGCGCAGCGTTATTGCCGAACGAGCCCGTCCTCGTGTTCGACGTGAAGACGAATTCACCACCTACACCACGCCAACAAGCGCCGTCGACGAATATTCCCGGGCGCCACGTGTTTCGCGTTTTTTTAATGTTTAAACCGCTACCGCTCTTCTGCGTTTCGTCCGCACGCGCTTCCCGTAGCCGCGCGCGGGGACCGGTGGGTAGTGGTAGTGGGGGGGTGAGCGAGGGAGGGGGGAGGTGGAGGGGAGGCGTGGGGGGGATGTGGGGGGGGAGGCGCCCCGGGGTCGTGAACCCGAACACGTGCGGGCCCGGGCCTCCATCGGCTCCAGCAGCGGGGAGGTTGCGCCGGCTGCCGAGGTTCGATCCCGGGCTGTGTTGGAGTCGTTCAGCGCTGTGTGGGCGAGACGCTGGTGGGGAGTCGGTCCGAGTGAAACGACAACAACAACGCCGCGACTCGACGCGTCGAGGCTCGCGGCGCGGAGGCGCAGAGCGCGGGACGCCGATGCCGAGGTTGGAGCCGCGTTGAGGCTGCGAGGCTCGCGTGGTTGGGGCTGGCGACGCGAGGCCGGTGCGGCTCGGGGCTTGCTTGTGGACAGCTCGGAAGCCCTTTGCCGAGGTGGCCACTGGAGCCGGGGCTTCGCGCCGCGGCTGCCGGAGTTGAGCCGAGTGGAGCCCGCGGCAGCGTCGGGGACTCGGGGCAGCGGCGGCGGCGAGGAGCGGAGGTAACGGGGTCTGAAGTAACGGCGACTGGGGAGGTGGTGGTGGAGGGGTGGGTGAGGGGATTGGGGGATCGGGATGTGGTTGCCAGCAATACACCTGTGAGGAACTCGGCGCATTCTACCTAAGCAGTGTCAAGCGACTTGACCCAGGGGAGTAACGTTGCCCGGACCTCCCCCCGAACCCCCCTTAACTTGTACCATTTCAAGGAAAAGACATGAGGAGGGGAAAGTTGAGGAGGGAGAGAGAGAGAGAGGCGTCGAGGAAGACGAGGTGAGAGACGAAGGGGTAGGAGACGGGAGGGAGGGAGCGAGCAGTGGTGGGAGAAGCGCTGCTGCTGCTGCTGTCTTTAGCCGGGTGCTGGACCCGGCTTGCAGCTCTCACGAGCGCCGGAGACTCATCAACGCGCTTGCCCTGTGGCCTCTGGGTTCGGTGTTGGGGGCTGGTTTCGAGTGGGTAGTTGCGTAGCGTTAAGGGCAGGGTAACGCTTAAAGAGCAAATGAAAGAACGCATTTTTTCCGACGGCACAATAGACTTGCGAAAGAATATGGGAGGGAAAAGTCGGGAGAGAATCAGAATGTGAACTTATCCTGGAGGAATCCGATGAGCTATGAAGCGCTTTTTCACAGAGGTTCCAGTATTTCGCAGATGGCCGGTTTGAGACGGGATGCTCGACCGATAATTGGATGAATACTGTGCGCAGGCTCCTGCAAAGCGAAATCGTTATTGATGTTGAGATGAAAATGAGAATGCGATTGCAGGTGTCGCACCTGTTGGAAGAGGCATTGATCGCTGCTGCCCTTCCCGGCGTGGAATGCGATTTAATCCCGGACCAGGTCAACGAGTTTACCTTTTGACATCACCAAAGAGGTGGGGGGCCAGCTGCTAGAAAACATCACAGCACAGAAAGTTTAAAATCTCATTCATTCTGCTGTTGTTGAAAATGTGTTCATGAAACTGATTTGAATGTTAGATGCATCATGAGCTGAAGATGCAAGCAAGTCGTCTCTCTTTCTCTCGTGCTTTATCTTGTCTCTGTGGTCTTTCTCTCAGTGTTTTGGTCCCTTACACATATGGTGCTCAACTAAACAATACTATTTTTTATTGTACCTCGCAAGGCTCACCGAGCTATGTAGCTCTTTTTCAGAAGCGACCTGGCCGCAAATGATAGCTCAACGAAGTGGCTTATCACGTGGAAATGTAGAGCAGCCAAACACCCTAAACGCGTGTTTCTAAATGTGGAGGGGAAAACCGGAGGACCTGGAGAAGAATCCACACGACCACGGAGAGAACATGGAAACTCCAAATATAGAGGCGTCAGGGTCGGGTTCGAACCCACAACTTCCTGTATACCAGGCGAGGGAGTTAACAAAAATGTACTTCATTACTGTCGTTAGACTTTCATTATATCACGAGATATTGTTCTTGAAAGATGTTTTGGGAACAGAATGTTACAATGAACAGACAGCTGGCGGGAGTGAGAGGTTTTAAAAAAAAAACTTAACTTGATGAAAATGAACCACAACACTGCCTAGAGAATTGCGTTTGCCGTTGGTGGGTATCTCCAGTCGTAGCGTGCAGCAGGAACATGGACATCGACAAAGGAAACGGGAAGGAGCTGTGAGCAGAGTGCGTAAACAAGCAATGTGGAGGTGCACGCGCAGCGTGGCGTTTCACCGACAGACGGGAAAGAGGAACAGGCAGATGAGAGAACCAACGGTGGTTAAATCAATCAATTCAACCCGCTCGGTAAAGCAAATGGGCTTGGGCAGGACACCCACGGCTGTAAGTGATGCTGGCCGAGCGAGGAAGGTCTCACTCGGTCTCATGACTCATTTTCAGGAGGGTCCTGGCAAGTTTTCACAGTGGGGGGGGGGGGCATTGATCGTTGCTGCATCTGTAATTGCAACTGTGAGCGGTGCAGTTTAAAAAAAACTTGGCAAATTTGGCCCATGACACCGGTTGCACACGACGGCCTGCTCTTGCGAATTACATCACGGGTTCTTTAACGTCCGATTAGCACGGTTGGCTACGTATGGTGCGAAATAAGTTCAACGTACGTGCGCCCACCGTGAAACGGACGGCGTGGAGTATCATTCCGGTTATTACACACGCAATGTTAACCGGGGCGGCCGCCGGAGTCGAACCACGAACCTCTGCAACGAGCGGCGAGCACGCCACCGCTCAGCCGCCTCGGCTACCGCCCCGTCGTGAGTGATCTCTCGTGGCCGTCTCTCGGCAGCGTTGGCGTTGATTGCGCCGCCCCCCCCACCTCTCGTTCGTGATGGCGGCGGCTGCTGCGGCGGCGGCGACGGCGGCGGCGACTGCGGCGGCGACTGCGGCGTCGGCGGTGGATTCCAAGGCTGAGCTGGGGCTGCTGCTGGAGCAGTGGGAGCGCGAGAAGGGGACAGGAGCCGATCCCATCCCTCTACTCTCACAGTGAGGGCGGCCGGCAACTCCTCACCAGCACTCACCGACACCCAGAGATCACCATCGCTCACCAGCACTTAACGACACCGAACACTCGCTAACACCCACCGGCGCTCGCCAGCACCCACTGCATACTGGAACCAACAACTTGTGTGTGTGTTTGCATCTTGATTACGTGTGCGTTCGTGTGGGGCTCTGTGTGTGTATGCGTGCGTGCATGCCCGCTGCCTATGCGTCTACGTAGGTACAGTATACGCCAGGGATGTGCGGTCAGGGGAGGCAATGAAAACAGCTGTTACGAAAAGTAAAAAATAATAAACTAAAAATTTAGATTTTTCCACTGATTTGTGTTATAAATGTAATTTCTGTACGATTCCAATCATTTTTATAGTCAAAATCGCCAAATTTGCGGATCTCCGCTGCAAATACAGGAAGAGACGAGAGGTGAGGCAGCGACGAGCTCAGCCTCCCCTCTGATTGCGCAACCCATCAGTAACTGGATGGAGCGCGGGCAATAAGCGCGTGCCTGTTACTATCTCAGTATGTCACCAATGTAATGTTTGTAGACCCCTTCATTTCATGTCCTCGCCTTCGATACTCTAGGTAACTTATTTCACGTATGTGCATAAAGATATTTAGGCTCGCTGGTCTCGTCATGAAACTGCAATGAAAAAGCACCAGGAGAGGCAGCTATCACATCTGCCTCATTGAGGGGGGCGTATCACGCCCCCCTCAGTGAAGACACGCCCCCCTCAGTGTGTAAATCTGGCTCTGATACCAGCCGGTGCCTCCCCAGCCATTGACCTCACCGCACGTCACTGGTATACGCGTGTTCACTCACTCACGTACGTGCGTGCGGTGGCCCGTCCGTGCATGTGTGCAGGATCTCGGATCTGATCGAGCGGGAGACTGAGGAGTACCACAAAGCCGACCCCGACCCCTTCGACGACCGCCACCCAGGTAAAGGGATCGCCCCTTCCCCGTGCCAATGCGACGCTCTGCTGGCCAGAGCGTCGCGTCGGCCTAAGCTCCCCTATAGCAGGTTTCCATTGCAAGAGTTTCTTATCTCAAAACGGGGCTCGCCTGGAATCGACCGACCGAGCAACCCACCTTGGTTCCAGCGACAGCTGCCAACTCAATGCACCCCGGTTTCTCCCAGCACTCCAGTTGATTCATCGAGGCAGCATAGGTCAGACCACAAGAGAGAGGAGGGGGAGGCTCTGAGCCTGGGACTCTTTACACGTTTCGCTTACAGCCTGTTTTGCAATACACTGCTGGATAATGGCCTCCCCATGCTGGGCAGGCTGAGGTGGTTATGGACCACTCGAGTTGGCCTGAATTCTCCCCAGAAAGTGAATTGGTGGACAACTCTGCTGCTGTTACTGGTGTTCCTGCTGCTACTGCTGTTCCTGCTGGTGCTGATGTTGCTGCTGTTGCTGCTGCCACTTTTGCTGTTGCTCCTGCTTGTGCTGCTATTGCCACTGCTACCGCCACTGCTACAACCGCCGCTGCTGCTACTGCTGCTGCTGTTCTTGCTGCTGCTATTGGTGCTGCCACTTTTGTTGACACTGTCGCCGCTGCTGCTGTTGCCATGTTTAACGTTGGCTGTTGTGTGCATCTCAGGTCGGGCAGACCCAGAGTGCATGCTGGGACACCTACTCAAAATGCTCTTCAAAAGCGATGACTTCATGAACGCGGTGAGCATTGCTGCGTCCGTGCTTGCATGTGTCCATGCGTGTGCGTGCGATTAGCATGGTTGGCTACATACGGTGCAAAAGAAGTTCAACGTACATACATACAGGCGTGGTGCAATCTGCAAAAGCGTGGTGCCGGCTTCCCACCCTCTCATGTGCTATGCTGAATTTTCATAAGCGCTGCTCGCCCACAGCACTTACCCCAACAGTCTGTTTAGGCTACACGGGGGATCTTTGTCTTCGTTGTGGGTGCAGCTGGTGAACGCGTACATGATGACGAGCCGGGAGCCTCCGTTGAACACGGCCGCTTGCCGCCTGCTGCTCAACATCTTGCCTGGCCTGGAGACCTCCGTGGTTTTCCAAGAGAAGGTGTGGCCACACCCCCCTCATCACCCCCCCTCCATCACCCCCCCCATCACCCCTCCCCTCATCAACCCCCCCCCATCAACCTCCCCTCTCCCCCCATCATCCCCTCCTCTCCCCCCTCCCCATGGGGTCCGTGTGTCAGTGAAAGGCTTCATACTCTCTGATTGGCTGGAGTCAGAAGGCATGTGACGAGCACAACCGTCGTGGACGTCGTGCGCCGCCGGGTGTGGAAATGTTTGCTGGCTCTCCGAGCGGAGCGGGACAAGTCGGCTGAAGTGGCGAACCCCCGGCCTTGCCGGTGAACCTTTGGGAGGCGGTGCCGCCGGCGCCGCTCTTCTCTCTCTCCCTCTCTCCCTGTGCCTAACGCTGCGCTTGTGGCACCGCTGCTGCCGCCGCCGCCGTCACGCAGGAGGGCATCGTGGAGAACCTGTTCAAGTGGGCGCGCGACGCGGCCGAGCCCCTGCGCAGCTACGCCATGGGCCTCCTCGCCGCCGCCATGGAGATCCAGGACATCGCCGCAAACTACCGCGATGACAACTGCCGGATGGTGCGGTTCCGCGCGGTCGCCGTCCCTCCTGCCGTGGATGCGTACACGCGTGCGTGCGTGCGTGCGCGCACCGTAGGTCACGATCACAGCCTCAGGACAGTAAATTTTTCAGAGCAAATTTAGCACAGAACCATATTTCACGTTATTTGGGTTTTCGTTTTCTTAATGCGGTCATTGGTGACCGGGCTGAGACTATCGACTCACCCGGTTCAATCGCAGCCAGTGGCTCAAACCCAGATTCGAGCCCAGGCTCTCAGCGGTGCCAGCTTCGCGGTGCGACCTCCGACCCCCTCCCGTGGCCACCTTGCCTCCGACTCTTCAACTCGTGCGCCACCGAGTCCGACCTCTGCCGCTTGACCCTCGTGACCTTCCCCCGCAGGTTCCACTGGCGCTGACGAGGCTCAGGGAGCTCTGCAGCAGCAGCGGCGTGCTGGCGTCGGCGGCGGAGGACGCGGCGGGCGCCAGGGGGGCGCCGGCGCCCCGTCGCTTTGGCTTGCCGGAGACGACCGCCAAGCGCCTCGCGAGCGCCGGCACCGGCGGACCTCGCGCCGGCGAGCTGCCCTTTGACGAGAACGCCGTGGTGGAGGGCGCCCTGGCGGAGGAGGAGGACTGCGAGCTGCTGCCGCGGCCGCCGTTCGTGCTGGCGCACAGGACGCCGCAGGCTCACGCCGGGCACAAGCAGCGAACCAGCTTCTCGCCGTTCGAGACGGAGCGCAGCCTCAACGAGCTGTCCAACAGCAGCTGGTCCGAGACGTCGCCGTGGGTCATCGGCACCAGCTACCGGCTGCTACCGCTCACTGCCAGCGTGCAGCAGAGGGTCATCTTCCAGTACCTGACGCCTCTCGGAGAGTACCAGGAGGTGAGGGCTTCGCGGCCGACGGGAGGCACCGGCTCGCGCCGTGTTGGCCGGCGCCTGGAGGTCAAGAGACGCTGAAACGGCTCCGCTGAGAGTTTGAGTCCCGGTTTCAACCAACGCCCGCAATTAAACCCGAGTCCTCATAAGTGCGGAGAGTTGGTCGTCTCAGCCCGGTCCTAATGATTTACGTACATACCCATAGACTTGCATGGAGACCCATTGGCTCACATTGACTGAGGTGTGCTTCATCCGGGTTCTCAAGGGCAGCGAGTTCATGGATCAGTTCACCGGTCAATTGAGTGTCGTTTACCGTGTGCCACTTGTCGCGTGCCATGTGCCACTGTGCGGTGTGCAGCTGCTGGCCATGTTCATGCAGCTGGGCGCGCGGGAGCTGCTCATGCACTATATCGACCTGCGCGAGACCAACGACACGCAGCTCACGTACGAGGCTCTCAAGGTGAGCGCACCGCACTCGTGCGACGCTGCGGTGCAGTGTCATGGTGTAACGATGGTGCGGTGCGACGGTGTGACAATATGGTGTGTTGATGTGGTGTGATGGCGCGACAGTGCGGCAGTGTTGGTGGTGTGATGGTGCGGTGTGGCGGTGCAATGGTGTGACGGTGCGCCGGTGTGACGGCACGACAGTGTGACGCCGGTGCCGTGTCGTGTCCCACAGTACCTGGCGTCGCTGCTGCTGCACAAGAAGTTTGCCGCGGAGTTTGTGGCGGAGGATGGCGTCCAGAAGTTGTTGGAGGTGCCGCGGCCGTCCATGGCAGCCACGGGCGTCTCACTCTGCCTCTACTACCTGGCCTACAACCAGGACGCCATGGAGCGGGTAGGCCCTGGCGCTGGCCTCCTGGCACCCGCGCACACGAATGCGCTTGGCCATGCGCGCGTGGCTGCTTGCGCGCATGGCTGCTTGTGCGTGTGTGCCCGTGTGTGCGTGCATGTGTCTGCATGCCCATGTGTGCGTGCATGTGTCAGCATGCCCGTGTGTGTCTGTGCGTGCGTGGGGAGCGGTGGTGCAGAGGTTAGCGCGCTGCACTATGAACCCGGCGACCCGCCTTCCATTTCAGCTCACGACCAATAACAGTGGCGGATATTTGAACTGGTCCTGGGCCTCCCTTAGGTCGACTCAGCCTTAAAACGAGTAGCTGGTACGATGTGTAAACACCGCCACGCGGGAGCGGTGTTTCCCACCTACCCTTTCGAGTGCCGTGCCGACCTTCGTGGACGGTGCTCGTAAATATCACTTGCCCCACCGGTGTGTTGAAGGCTACGCGGGGGACCTTTGCCCTTGTGTGCAGGTGTGCACGCTGCCGGACGCGGTGCTCTCGGACCTCGTGGGCTACGCGCTGTGGCTGCTCGAGTGCTCCCACGAGTCGGGCCGCTGCCACGCCACCATGTTCTTCTCCATCTCCTTCTCCTTCCGCACCGTCCTCGACCTCTTCGACTCGCGCGACGGCCTCCGCCGCCTCATCAACCTCGTCAGTGCCCGACGGGACAGCTCGCCCACCCACTCGTCCACCCACTCGACCACCCACTCGCCCACCCACTCGCCCACCCACTAACCCACCCACCTGTCCGCCCGCCCGCCCACTTGCTTCCCTACCCTTTCTCCCTCCCACTCAACTGTCCATACTTTCTCTCACCCGCTCGCCTATCTGCCCTGTGTCCTGCCCGCTCACCCGCCCGCTTTCTCCCCCCTACTCACCCGTTCGCCCACCGTGTCTGCCACCCACTCGCCTGTTGCCTGGCGCTGCCCCCGGGAGAGTTAATGTGACCGTCGCTGTGCCGACCGCCAGGTTAGCACGCTGGAGATTCTGAACCTGGAGGACCAGGGAGCGCTCCTGAGTGACGACGAGATCTTCGCGAGCCGCCAGACGGCGCGGCACACCTGCCTGGCGCTGCGGCGCTACTTCCAGGCGCACCTGGCACTCAAGGGCGAGTCAGTGCGGCGCTCGCTGCAGCGGACGGACGGCGGGCCCGTCATCCCCCCCCAGCCACCCTACAAGGCACGCTCGTGCAAAGACAAAGATGCTCCGTGCAGCCCTGACAGACCATTGGGGAAAGTGCCGTTAGCGGCCAACGTCGGTGACGAACATCTGAACCGGTCCTGGGTATCCCCTCGGTCGACTCGGCCTTAAATGTGTCCCTGGTGCCATGTGGATAAAACATCGGCACTTGGGCAGACAAAGGCGGCCGGGCGTGGTACTGACCACCCACTCCCTCGTGCGCCATGCCGGCCTTCATCGACGATAGTCGCCAACGGCATTTTACACAACAGCCTGTTGTCTCTCCTGTGTGTGTGTGTGGGTTGGCCCGCACTCAATCACCCCCCCACCCCCCACCCTTCTATAAACGGTAAACTCTTTTATTTGACAAGGTAAGGCCCATTGAGCTCTACAGCTCTTTTTCAGAAGCGACCTGGCCACAAATGACAGCTCAACGAAGTGATTCATCATCACGGGGACATTTATAGCAGCCAAATCCTCTGAACGCGTGTTTCTAAATGTGGAGGGAAAAACCGGAGGACCCGGAGAAAGATCCCCATAACCACGAGGAGAAAGAGAGAGAGAGAGACACGCAAACTCCAAATATACAACAGGCATCATGGTCAGGATCGCACCCACGACCTCCTGTATACCAGGCGAGGCAGTTAACATTTCGCCACCACGGTGCCCAATAACCGCCGCCCCCCTTCTTCGCCCCCCCCCCCCCCCCCTGCCCCTACCACAGGCGCTGGTGCTGAGCCACCAGCAAGTGCTGGAGCTGCAGGAGTTTCTGGTGGCGTGCGGACCCACGCGGCTCTACTGGGAGGCAGCTGAGGCGCTGCACCGCCTGGGCGGGGTGCCCCTCCTGCTGCAGCTCGTCTCGTTCGCCGCCGAGTGGCGCACCTACTATGGCCGGTGGGGCAGCATGCACCGCGAGAGAGCGGCGGCGCACAACGCACCGCACCGCCACGCACGGCGGAAAGCCGCATACACCGTGAACGCGGTCTTGGTTGTGTGGTCGTTGCGGTGGTGGTGACTGTTGTGGTTGTGGTGGTTGGCATCGTCCTCCCCCGTCCTGATGCCGAGGAGAAATGGGCGAGGTTTAGGACTGTGGCTCGTGCAGCTGCAATGGCTGCTTTGGGTATGCAGTCCAAACTTCCCGAGAGACCCTGGCTGACGGAGGATTTGTTTTGGCTGGCTGAGAAAAAGCGACAGGCCGCACTCCCATTGTCTACAGCGTCCCACCTTGGTGAATGAGGAGTATTACTGCAGCCTTCGCCCGGAGGTGCGGAGAGCTGTGCAGTGCTGCAATGCTGACTGTTGGTCGTGATTTGCTGACGAGATGGAATCTGCCTCGGTAACCCGCGATCACAAATCACTCAATGCCATCATTAAAGTAACTTGCAGCGCCACATGTTACCCGAAAGGTGATCCGATCTCCGACCCCGAGGAACAGGTTTGCAGGTTTGGTGAGAATCTTGGGGGAGGGGAAATCCCTCAGCCCAGAAAACACCATAGGGCAAAAGAGGGATCACCCTGCTGAAGCTGCATTGCAAGTAGTAGTCACCCCTTGTGCGTGGTCGTTTGGAGGTCAAAACAGTGCATCCTCAAGACCAAGATGCAACTGCGTAACAGCAACTTTAAATCGGTGCTGTTGTATGGCTCAGAGAGTTGGCGTGTTGTCTCGACCTTCCATAACTGATGTCTCAGGGGAATCTGCTGCATCTTCTAGCCTAACAAAATCCATAACACTGAACTGTACAAGAAGACCGGTCGTCCGAATATCACATACGAGACGTGGAGAGACGGTGACTCGGATCGCTCCGTCGTGTTCTCAGAATGGATCAGGGGACCGGATACCAAAAACTGCCCCTGAAGATGGACACCAACGGGCAAAAGGAAACCTGGGAGACCACGTGGGGCAAGACGGCGAGGGGCGAGCTGGCGGCGGCGATTGACCTCTCTCGGGGCGAGGCTCAACAAGTTGCCGAGGACAGGAAGAAGTGGAGGGAACTCGTTTGCGGCCTCGTGTCCTATCGGGGATGAAGAGGATTCGCTAACTCATTGTGGTGCATCGGCCAGTAATCTCATTCAGTCAACCCATGGCACCTGGGTCTGTCCCGTGACCTGCCAGCGGGCGTTCACATAGCCTGGTCCAAGCGCCGTGGTGATGTCACCACCACTTAGTGGTGAATGGCGGTTGTTGTTGTTGGCTGTGGTGATGGTTATGTGGTGGTTGCGGTGGTGGTGGTGATTGTGGTGGTGGTGGTGATGGTGGTTGCGGTGGTGGTGGTGATTGTGGTGGTGGTGGTGATGGTGGTTGCGGTGGTGGTTCTGTGTAGGAGCGAGACGGTGCGCTCTGCGCTGGACGTCCTCGCCATCCTCACCGTGGTCCCCAAGACGCAGGTCGTCCTCGCTGAGCCCATCGACGTCCTCAACGAGATCGGGCCACCCATCAAGACCATCGGTGCGCAACGGCACTGCAACCGCACAGCAACCGCGCCCGCACCGCGCACAACCACATCACACTGCACCGCGCACCACTGTGTCGTTCCACACGCGCGCCTACTACCCCCGGCACCACCAGCGACCTCTCCCCCCCACCTACCCCCCACCTACCCCCCACCTACCCCCCACCTACCCCCCACCCTGTGCGTGCCACCTGCCCCCCCCTTCTCCTGCCCCCTGCGCGTTTTCGTCCAGGCATGAACATCGTGCTGAAGGTGGCGGAGGGCGAGGTGTTTGTGAACGAGGCCGAGATTCAGAAGTCGGCGCTGCAGGTCGTCATCAACTGCGTGTGCGGCCCCGACCGGCGCCCGCCGAGCCTGGGCCGCTTTGTGGGCGGCACTCCGCGCCGGCGCTCTGCTCAGCAGCAGCAGCAGCAGCAGGGCTCCCGCACCGCCTCCACCTCCGCCACCGACAACGTCCTGAGCAAGATGTGGGGCGTTGTGCGCGCCAATAACGGCATCAAGGTGCTGCTGGCGCTGCTGTCGGTGAAGGCACCCATCACGGACGCCGACCAGATCCGGGCGCTGGCGTGCCGCGCGCTCGTGGGCCTCTCGCGCAGCGCCACCGTGCGGCAGATCATCAGCAAGCTGCCGCTGTTCTGCGGCGGCCACATGCAGATGCTTATGCGCGAGCCCGTGCTGCAGGACAAGCGGCAGGAGCACGTGCGCTTCTGCCGCTTCGCCTCGCAGCTGCTGGAGCGCGTGTCGGGCAAGCCCATGTCGGCGGGCGGCGACGTGTCGCTGGCGCGGCTGCAGAGGGCCGACGTGGTCGCCCAGACCCGCATCACCTTCCCGGGCAAGGAGCTCCTGCTGCTCATCCGCAACCACCTGCAGGCGCACGGCCTGCCGGAGTCGGCCGCCGCGCTCACGCGAGAGGCGGACCTCCCCCGCGGGCCGCTGCCGCCGCCGCCGCTGCCGCCGCCGCCGCCGACGACGGCGTTGACGGCGCCGCCGCAGCCGGCGTCGTTCTCCCCGGCGGCGATGGCGCTGCCGCTGGGGGGCGGGCCCTGCCTGCCGCGCGCGCCGCGCCTCGTCAACGGGCTGGCGGGCCGCGCCGCGGCCAGCGGGACCCGGGCGCCGGCGCCGGCGTCGTCTTCCGGCCTCGGCTCGTCGCAGGTCGCGCCGCCGCCCTCGTCGTCGCAGAGCGGCGCCGTGGCGGCGGCGGGGGGGCTGTTGTCGTCGCCGGGGGGGGGGCCCTCGCACGGGGCGCCGCCCGGGACGCCCTCCGGCGCCGGCGGCGCCCTGGGCCGCATCAGCTTCAGCAAGGAGCGGCTGTCTCCCTGCGCCGGCTCGGCCCAGCGGAAGGCGGCGCGCGTGCTGATACAGAAGGCGGACTGCGGCGCGTACGTGCAGTCGCCGGCGTTCCGCAAGGAGCTGGACGGGCGGCCGGCGCCGTCGCCCCCGGCGCTCGACGGCATCATCACGGAGTACCTGCGCGAGCAGCACTCGCGCTGCAAGAACCCGATCGTCACGTGCCCGCCCTTCTCGCTCTTCACGCCCCACCAGTGCCCCGAGCCCAAGCAGCGGCAGCTGGCGCCGTTCAACTTCACGTCGCGGCTCACACGCCGCGCCCACTTCCCCATGTTCGGCGGCACCGAGGGGGCGTCATGCGACCGGCAGCTCATCTTTAGCAGGTGCTACACCGGGACTGGGGGGCGTCGCGTGCCGGGGTGGTGCTGCGGTGGTGCCCGTTTCCCCCCCCCCAACCCCCCGTGGCAAGCGTGGCCTGGGTTCTTTTCCCGGGTCATTGTCATGCTGGAATACCCATCCACGACACATTTTCAATGCCTTGGCTGAGGGAAGGAGGTTCTCACCCAAGATTTGACGGTACATGGCCCCGTCCATCGTCCCTTTGATGCGGTGAAGTTGTCCTGTCCCCTTAGCAGAACAACACCCCCAAAGCATAATGTTTCCACCTCCATGTTTGACGGTGGGGATGGTGGTCTTGGGGTCATAGGCAGCATTCCTCCTCCTCTAAACACGGCGATTTGAGTTGATGCCAAAGAGCTCCATTTTGGTCTCATCTGACCACAACACTTTGACCCAGTTGTCCTCTGAATCATTCAGATGTTCATTGGCAAACTTCAGACGGGCATGTATATGTGCTTTCTTGAGCAGGAAGACCTTACGGGCGCTGCAGGATTTCAGTCCTTCACGGCGTAGTGTGTTACCAATTGTTTTCTTGGTGACTATGGTCCCAGCTGCATTGAGATCATTGACAAGATCCTCCCGTGTAATTCTGGGCTCATTCCTCACCGTTCTCATGATCATTGCAACTCCACGTGGTGAGATCTTGCATGGAGCCCCAGGCCGAGGGATATTGACAGTTATTTTGTGTTTCTTCCATTTGCGAATAATCGCACCAACTGTTGTCACCTTATTCTTAGTTCTTTCGGTAAAGTCACGTTGAAGGGAAATAACAAAATAATATATATAAAACAATAAAAATTCTCACGACGTTTCGACCATAACACAAACGGTCGTCTTCAGGTGTGTCGGTTTGCATAAATTTATTTTTAAACGGCAATGGTCTTGTAGCCCATTCCAGCCTTGTGTAGGTCTACAATCTTGTCCCTGACATCCTTGGAGAGCTCTTTGGTTTTGGCCATGGTGGAGAGTTTGGAATCTGATTGATTGATTGCTTCTGTGGACAGATGTCTTTTATACAGGTAACAAGCTGAGATTAGGAGGACTCCCTTTAAGAGTGTGCTCCTAATCTCAGCTCGATACCTGTATAAAAGACACCTGGGAGCCAGAAATCTTTCTGATTGAGAGGGGGTCAAATACTTATTTCCCCTCATTAAATGCAAATCAATTTATAACATTTTTGACATGCGTTTTTCTGTTCAAATAAACTTACCATTACAATTATAGACTGATCATTTCTTTGTCAGTGGGCAATCGTACAAAATCAGCAGGGGATCAAATACTTTTTTTCCCTCACTGTATGTGGGGTGTACATGTTTCTCCCCCTGTTCTGCCTTGTCTCCATGTGCCGTTTCTCCTCGCGCCGTGTGTCACCGGGCGCGCCGATTACCGCGCTCCGTGTTCGCTGCTGCCGCCGCCACCACCACAGGTTCCGGCCGCTCTCCGTGTTCCGCGAGTCGGACGAGGACGGCAGCTGCTTCACGTGCTGCGCATTCTCGGCGCGCGAGCGCTTCCTCATGCTGGGCACCTACACGGGGGAGCTGAAACTGTACAACCTGTACACGGGCCAGGAGGAGGCGAGCTACGCCTGCCACTCCTCGCCCGTCACCCACTGCGAGCCGTCGCGGGTGCGTCCCTCCCACGGCACCACCGTTTGCTAACCCGTTTGAAAAAATATCACACCGCAGTGTTCTCAGTCGCGATCACACATGGTAGGTAGGACCCCTCGTGAGAAAAAATAGTCTGCGAGGCTCTCCAGGGTAAAATAAGCGGAAATAACGACAACGGCACGCCGTCGATGGCGGGCTGCCGAGGGAGTGTTCCTCGCTAACCCGCTCCCAGTAAGGTTTATTCACATGAACAAAACGTGCCAATTCGTGATTACTTTAGCACAGCAGCGTGATGGAGAGTGAACCCACAATATTTACTATTGAGGACGAAGTTTTGCTGGTCATTACAACCAGCTTCATCAGGCGATTTTCCAGAATTGTGAAGAAGTCTTCCTGCTTCCGGTCTTAAACAGAGCAAGCTGATGTCATCACAGTGAGCCTATCAGGTGCAAAAATCGGTGCCATCCGTCAAATGAAGTATATTTCAAAATGAATTAAACATTTGCAAAAGTCTAATTCACACATTAGGGGTCGTGCCAAAGTCACCCACGGGGTGACTTTGGCACCACAGCCGTCGCTCAAGACGCCCCCCCTCCACAAGGTGCCCATTGACCACGAATGTTGGGATGGCCGACTATGGCTCGGAGCGTTAGAATCAGAATCCTTATTTAGACTGGAGGAATTCCGATGTACTATGAAGCTCTTTTTCACGGACAGTCTAGTAGGGAGTGGGAACGTAACTCGGTGGTTTTCATAGCCAGTGCACCGGTCCAGATTTGGCCTTTGGGTTGGGCCCACGTATTAAGTAGCTTTATGGAAAAAATATATTATTAACCCTGACGAGAATGTCACGTTTACAAAGGTGATAGAGATCCATACGTAGCAACGTAGCTGTCGCATCCTGACAGATACAATTGGGTTGTGCAAAGTCATTACGTTCGGTCGTGAAAGCCTTAAGCCACCGGTTAAGTTCGTTCTGCTCCATAGCACAGGAAGAGCCATTGCCCGAAACGTCGCCTGTCATTCACACACGGAGGTGGTGTTGTTGACGAATGTGCCGAATAGTGCTGTTGTTGATTGTCCTCGCGCACCACAGCCAACGCAGCAGCTGCAGTTGCAGCATCGCCAACATATGTATTTATATTTAATTTATTCCCAAGTGATGGTGGAGCGTGTGCTGCTGCTGCGGTTGCAGGACGGGCAGCTGCTGCTGACCTCTTCCGACATGAGCCGCCCTCTCTCCGCGCTGTGGGGCATGAAGGACGTGTTCGACTTAAAGTAACACAATCTCATCCTTTTACATCGTGACCTCTGGTGACACTTTACGGAAACCTTGACCCCACGGAATAATAACGCGTGCACACTCTCTCCTGCCTTCTAATGCACGCCCGTCATATCGACCTCTAAGCAACGCCCCCCACTGCTGACCCCTGACCCGACACAGCTCCCTGTGCTTCCTCGTCTCGCTTGGTTTCATGACGTTGACCCATGTCCCTACGTACTTACTGATTGGATGGTTGTGGGGCGTGCGTGATGACGATGAACTAGTGGTTGATGTGACAGTGGTATTGATGCCAGTGTGCGGTTGTGGCGAGCGAGTGTGCGGTTGCTGGTGACCACGGCATTGCCTCCCCCCCTCCTTCCCCCTTCCGCTCGAGCAGGCACGGCTTCGACAACGATCACTACGTAGAGTTCAGTAAACTCTGCCAGGATCGCATCATCGGCACCGAAAACGACACGGCGCGGGTGAGGGCCGGCACCACTGCCGCTGCGCACGGGGGACACCCGGCGGTTACACACGAAGCCAAGGGTCAGGGGTGGCCGCTGTTGATTTCCACCCCCCCCCCCCCGTCGTCCCTTTCCCATTGCCCAGCGTCCAATCCGTACTCTTACGATCCGAACGGTTGGCGCTCGCAGACGTCCGGTTGAGCGATTTCGCGCCGCCTAAATGAGCGTCTTCGTCACCGCCGCTGCTCTCGCCGTAGATCTACGACGTGCAGACGGGTGTGCGCACGGAGACGCTGTACAACGCCGACCTGGCGAACCACTACAAGCGGAACTGCGCGACGTTCAGCCCGACGGACGAGCTGGTGCTCAACGACGGCGTGCTGTGGGACGTGCGCTCGGCGCAGGCCGTGCACAAGTTCGACAAGTTCAACATGAACATCAGCGGCGTGTTCCACCCCAACGGCCTGGAGATCATCATCAACACCGAGATCGTATCCTCGCTCGTGCGTGCGTGCATGTGCGCGCGCACGTGGGGACACGGGTCCCCCCCCCGCAAAGCCTCAAGCAGGCCGTTGGGGCACAGGTCCAGCCGGTTGGTTCCGTTAGATTTAGTTGTTCGAACGAGGCCTGTCAAGGCTAAGAAGCTCACTCTCAACGGCGACCACGGCCAACGTAATGAGCAAGTTGCTTGGGAAGAGAGGGTTTACAGCGGTGGCATTGAAACGAAAGCAGGGAACTGTGAAAACCATGACTAATAAATAGAGATCGCCTGTTCAGGCCGGGAAGGCACACGAGCAGATGACGTGGGCAGCGACATACCCGGCCACATTTTTCTTCAATCACAAATGTGTTTACCTGCGACAGAAAATATTAATTTATGGTTAAGTCAACCTAGGGGAGGCCCAAGTTGGGTTCTTATACCACACGCCACTGGTATTAGCCATGGCCAGGAATAGAAAGTAATGTGCCGGGTTTGTAGTGCAGTGTGCTAACCACTGCGCCACCGTTCTTCAGTGCCTCCGTCTGTCTCCTCCGCTGTCGACCTTGACTCCTGGGCAGTGGGACCTACGCACATTCCACCTCCTGCACACGGTGCCCGCACTCGACCATTGCAGCCTGGTGTTCAACCACGCGGGCACCGTCATCTACGGCGGTGAGGACCACGCACACCAACCCCCCCCACTGCCAGGCACACCACGCAGCCACGGAACACAACACTCAACCGCCAGGCACACCACACGGAACACAACACTCAACCTCCAGGCACACCACTCAGAACACAACACTGTACCCCCCGGGCACACCACACAAACCACAGAACACAACACTCAACCGCCAGGCACACCACACGAAAGTGGCCGACACCATGTGACAACCGTCCAAACACCACTGAACCACCAATCGTGAACCTTGGCTCAGTCGATTTGAAGCGATTGAGGATCTTTACACCCGTAACGGGAATTGTACCGTGTGCGCGAGCTAGACGATAGATGGGATTGTCACATCGCAGGACCGTGGGGGGGGAGGCTTTAATCCAGCAGTGGATTGATCATGACGACGACGATGAGACTTGTGAATCGTTCCGAAACGTTTCGCGCTTCAACCGCGTGCCGTGCGACCAAAGTCTCTGCAGTTCCGCAACCACACGCACCACCATGCGGCATGTCGGGCGTGACACGGCATGCGCCACCCCGAGCGCGATGGCGTGGGTGACGACGCTGGTGCGACTCGTGATCCCCAAAACATCCATGCAGCCATGCTCCAGCCAGACGACGAAGATGAACTGATGGAGGAGCAGATGAAGAGCCCCTTCGGATCGTCCTTTCGCACGTTCAACGCCACCGACTACAAGCCGATTGGTCAGTGCAGCACTCGCACTCACGCACACTCACCCTCTCGCCACACACTCACGCACACTCACACTCACGCACACTCTCACCCTCTCGCCACACACTCACGCACACTCACACTCACGCACACTCTCACCCTCTCGCCACACACTCACGCACACTCACACGCACACTCGCACTCATGCACACTCACATGCTCACACTCACGCACACTCGCACTCACGCACACTCTCACCCTCTCGCCACACACTCGCCCTCTCGCCACACACTCACGCACACTCACACTCTCGCACACTCACCCTCATGCCACACACTCACGCACACTCACACTCACGCACACTTGTACTCACGCACACTCTCACTCACGCACACTCTCACTCACGCACACTCGCACTCACGCACACTCTCACCCTCTTGCCACACACTCACCCTCTCGCCACACACTCACACTCGCCACACACTCATGCCACACACTCACATGCTCACACTCACTCACACTCGCCGCACACTCACACTCGCCGCACACTCACGCACACTCTTACCCTCTTGCCACACACTCATGCTCACACTCACACACACTCACACTTGCCGCACACTCACACTCGCCGCACACTCACACTCACGCACACTCTCACCCTCTCGCCACACACTCACCCTCTCGCCACACACTCACATGCTCACACTCACGCACACTCACACTCGCCGCACACTCACGCACACTCTCGGACTCGCATCCTCACAGTCTCACATTCACTTACGCTCACATTCACATGGGATGTGGTGTGTCCAAGTGGTTGTATAGTTGCTGTGTGGCCGATCGTCGTGTCCACCCGTGTGGATGCCGTGTGAATGAATTGCAGCCACGATCGACGTGAAGAAGAACATCTTCGATCTGTGCACGGACACCAAGGACTGCTACCTCGCCGTCATCGAGGTGAGCCTGCCCGCCCGAGCGTGCATGCGTCTGTGTACTTCGGTAACAGTGGCGCAGTGGTTGATACACTGTGCTACCAATCCCGGCGACTCGCAATTGATTCCCAGCCACGGCTGATATCATCTGGGTCTGGGCCTCCTCTCGGTCGACTCGGCCTTAAATGAGTACCTGATGCGGTGTGTAATAAACATCGGCACTGGGAAGATAACGGCGACTGGACGGGGGTGCTGGCCGTCCACCCCCTCGTGTACCGTGCCTGCCTTAATTGGTGCTCGCTCGGAGCATTTTCTCCAACAGTTTGTTCAGGCTATGCGGTGGGTTCATTGTCTTGTACGTTTTATATGCTTCACACGTCACCCCTGGTGGAGTTGAGTGGTGTTGATGTGCGTGGAATTGTATTCACTGCGAGTCCAGCAAGAGGAACGGGTGGATTAGAGAACATACACAAGTTAGAGACATCATCATCGTGATGCTCAAGGAAAGTAAGTAGACTTGGCCAGTAACCACCAGGCATCAGGGCTTGGGCAGGAGGGATGATACTCCGGTGTTGGGAGACTAACAACGGAGTGGCAGCCAGGGGCGGGAGCATGCCTGATCGCTGAAACAGGCTCGCGCGTCAAGCAGCTACTGGCTGGATTATTTATATCGTAGGACCGTTGAGAGATCGAGGCAACTTGGGCAGGAAGAGGCACACTGGTGAATTGAACGCGGATGGGGGTGGTGATGGGGGAGCGGTAGAGTAGCGGTTAGTGCGTTGCGCTACGAACCTGGCAACCCGAGTTCGATTCCCACTCACGGCCAACATCAGCCTCAAATATAGTACCTGGTGAGGTGTGTAAATATCGCTACTAGGGCCGGGCGTGGTGCTGGCCACCCACCCCCTCGTGTGCCGTGCCGGCCTTCATAGGTGCTCGCTAACAGCACTTGCCCCAACAGTCTGTTCAGGCTATACGGGGAATCTTTGTCTTGTTTTGGTGGTGATGATGGCGTCGATGACGACGACGGGGATGAGTAACGTGCTCGCGCGTGTCTCTCGCTGACGACAGAACCAGAAAGGGCTGGACAGCCTGTCCATGGACAGCGTGTGCCGCCTCTACGAGGTGGGGAGGCAGAGGCTGGCCGAGGAAGAGGAGGAGGAAGAGGAGCAGGTGGGGGAGGGGGGTCCCCTGTCCACGAGTGGCAGTGGCACCACGACTCGGCACTGTGGCGGAGACGTGTCTTCGGTTGTGGCCGTGCGGTTGGGGTGGGGGGGCTGTTTGGCTTTGGCGTTGTTGGTGTGTAGTTGTGGCTCCTGTGGTTGTTGGTGCATGTTTAAGGTTGTGGTAGATGTATCTGTGTCGCGTTGGATGTGTGGTTATTGGTGTGTTTCTGTGGTTGTAGCTGTTTGATTGTGTAGATTTGAATGTGTGGTTGATGGTGTGTGTCTGTGGTTGTGTAGCTTTGTGGTTGTGTTTTGTTGCAGCTGTGGTTATGTTGTTGCAGCTGTGTGTCGTTTTTGTTTTGTTATAGCTGGGTGGTTGTGTTTATCTTGTTTGCCTATAGATTGTGCAACTTTTCTGCACTTAATTCGTTTCTTCATATGTTGAGCAACGCCTGTATTAAACACTGAAGATCCGTTGCTTTTGTTTTGCAACACAGTTGCATGGTTGAGCCATGAAACTCTTATGTCTGTGTAGGATCGAGACCGGGAGGCCCGACCCTCCCACCCTTCCCACTCGCCTGGGCGGCTCAGCCCACAGAGCCCTGCAGGGCATTTAGGCAAGGAAAGGTGGCTGTCGGCCTATAATTAAAATAGATCCAGACATTTTAGAGAAGCAATTAAGGCAAATTGAGTTTTATTATCAAACATCCCTGTGCTTCCATATGCATCAACTATTCAGCCATGTTGGACCAGGTTTAAATGTTGAGCATGTGACCCAGTCCAGCCAAACAGAGCCTATCTTACTCGTGCAACAGCAACACATTTCACGAGCTGTTTGAACAAAGTTGCTCTGTTGCACATCCAAATGCAACTTTATTTCCCCCTTGTGGCATGCAATCTTAAATGCAACGACATAGTCAGACAATAACATGGTCACGAGCAGCTTTATTGCAGGCAAAATTTACACTTTGGCTTGTATGTTGAACTTCTTTCGCACAGTGCTAATCGGAGGTGCTTTTGGCTATGCTGTTGTGTGTGCTGTTAAGGCAATGTGGATTTGTGGGTGCCCGTGTGATTGTGGCTGTTTGGCTATATGTGTGTGTTTCTCTGCATATTCGTGGTTGTGTGTGGTATTGCGTGTTTGTGTGTGGATGTTTGTCGTGTGCCGTGCCGACCTTGGGCACTTGCCCAAAAAGTACGTTAAAGCTATTAGGGGGAATATTTGTTTGTGGCACCTGGGTCTAGGGCCACGAAACACCTGGGTCAGTCAACGCATGGCAGCTGGGTCTATCCTGTGACCTGTCAGCGAGTCTTCAACACTTTACGTGGCCTTATAGTGCACCTAGCCTGGCACAAGCACTGTGGCGACGTCACCACCACTGAGTGGCGAACAGTGGTTGCTGTTGTTTGCGGAGAGCGAGCCCATAGACCCGGGTTCGTTGCCCGCTGAAGGCCAACATCGGTAACGATTATCTGAACTGGTGCTGAGCATCCACTAGGTCGACTCGTCCTCAAAAATGAGTGCCTGGTGCAGTGTGTAACCATCACCACCGGTGGCCGGGCATGGCATTGGCACATCATCCCCCCCGTGTGCTGCGTTGGCCTTCATTGGTGCTTGCGAGCAACGCTTGCCCCAGCTGTACTCTAAAGGCTACACGAGAGATCTTTGTGTGTTTGTATATGTTTGTATGTATGTGGTTGTGGCTGAGCCTTGGCCGTGGTTTTCCAGGAGGATGAGGAGGAGGATGAGGATGACTCTGAGGACGACGCGCTGGATCTGGACGAGTTCGACTCTGAGCTCGACGACGAAGACGAGGAGGGGGCGGAGGGGGGCGATGGGGGGGACGGGGACGAGGTGGGGGAGACGCGCAGGGAGAACGAGGACGGGGAGGAGATGGGACTCTCCGAAGGGGAGGGGGCCGATGATGACGATGATGACGAGGATGGAGAGGATGACGAGGTGGAGCTCGTGATGAGCGACGACAGCAACGACTGTGAGTACCACGCGGGGGAGTCGCGCACCAGGGGAGTCGCGCACCGGGGGGAGTCGCGCACCAGGGGAGTCACGCACCGGGGGAGTCACACACCGGGGGGAGTCGCGCACCAGGGGAGTCGCGCACCGGGGGAGTCGCGCACCGGGGGGAGTGACGCACCGGGGGAGTCCCCTGGTGGTGCTTGTTGCATGTGATGATTGTGATGGGTTTTTTTGTGACGTACTGGTGCTGCGTGTACGATGGTGTTTGTTGTGATGGTGCTACATGTGTTATGGTGTTTGTTGTGATGGTGCTGCGTGTGCTATGGTGTTTGTTGTGATGGTGCTACATGTGTGATGGTGTTTGTTGTGATGGTGCTACATGTGTGATGGTGTTTGTTGTGATGGTGCTGCTTGTACGATGGTGTTTGTTGTGATGGTGCTACATGTGTGATGGTGTTTGGTGTGATGGTGCTACATGTGTGATGGTGTTTGTTGTGATGGTGCTACGTGTGATCGTGTTTGTTGTGATGGTGCTGCGTGTGCAATGGTGTTTGTTGTGATGGTGCTGCGTGTGCAATGGTGTTTGTTGTGATGGTGCTGCTTGTACGATGGTGTTTGTTGTGATGGTGCTACATGTGTGATGGTGTTTGTTGTGATGGTGCTACATGTGTGATGGTGTTTGTTGTGATGGTGCTACATGTGTGATGGTGTTTGTTGTGATGGTGCTACATGTGTGATAGTGTTTGTTGTGATGGTGCTGCGTGTGCAATGGTGTTTGTTGTGATGGTGCTGCGTGTACAATGGTGTTTGTTGTGATGGTACTGCGTGTGCAATGGTGTTTGTTGTGATGCGTGCGATTCTGTCTGTCAATGTCACCACTCCGTTTCGTATTATCCTCCTCTGAATGCCGGTTCCTAAAACTCTCCCATCCTTTCCAGCCGACGACGACAGCTCGGACCTGGAGGACGATATGCTCCTGGCGCTTAATCAGTGAATCATCTACAGACGACACGACGAGGTCGGCCGACAAGGTCCCCACCACTGAGGCCTCCTGGCTCGGCTTCGCCACAGCCGCCCTCCACCTTCTGCCAATGCGGAAATCCTCCGGGCCCCAATACACAGCTCACGAGCGCGACGCATGCACCGCCCGCATCAGATAGTTGCGCGTCGTTTCGTTTAGATAGACGTTTCAGCATCGTCACTTATTTTTGTATCTGAGAGTTTATAATTGCGTGTGTTTGGCGAGCATAAACGCGGGGGCCCTGGTTTTATTTTTTGTTCATTCTCACGTGTTGTTGACATAGAATAAACGGGTTGGATGGAAAATATATGGCCGTTGTTGCTACTGCTGCTTTGTGTGTGAGGTTCCTTTGCAAGCCGGTCGGTTTGTGGTGTGCGAGGTGGTGGAGACGCAGTGGCGTTGAGATGCGTGTGCCTGCGGTCGGTCTGCCCCCGTGTGCGACGTGGCGAGTGTAGCTGGCTCGCCCGATCCCACTCCATCCGGTGATCGTAACGAGGGGACAGTCCGGTTAACAAAGACAATAATTGACAAGTTCGGAGGCGATGAGTGGATACTCTGCGTTGTTCTGCCCTCCTCTTGAGAATCGAGTGACTCCACCACCGAGGGACACCAGAGGGTTGTTGAACGGCAACTCTTTATTTCAAAGTGTTCTTCTGAGTAATTATGGCCAGATGCACACCAATCGCGAACCCCACGTTACACAGCCCCTCACTGCTCAATCCCTGTACGGCGTCCATGCGTTTCTAAATAGATGCCCTGTGCCATGAAATTACTCCACTGGTGAACGCGGGCTACTGTGCAGTCACGCGAGTCTGTGTTCAATCCACGGTCATCATTAACTCCATTGATTAGACTTATACGTGTGTGTTTCATTACATTAAGCCCATATCGGCTACATTAGCAACTGGGGTGGTGAAGTGACCGCCACCGTTGGGCTGGCGTTGGTGTATGGTTGGAACCGTCGGACCAACGTTGCTCTATAGTAGGGAAGGGATAGAGGTGATTGCAGAAGGAGGGGTGGGGATGTGAGGGTACAAGGAGGGGAAGGGACAGGATGATGAGAGGATCGAGGTGATGGAAGAAAATAGGATAAGAATATGAGAGGAGGTGATGGGAATGGTAATTGGAGGTTTAATGAGGTGAGTACGTGAGGTGAACCAGCCATGGGGATGATAAGTGAGTTGAAGTATAAGGGAATGAAGTAAGGCATATAAAGTGATGTTTAAAGAGGTAAATAAGATGAGGGAAACAACATTAGTCAAGGTAAGATGTTGAGGGTAGATACACAGGGAGATCAGGTGTAATGATGAGGTATGGGAGATAGTGCGGTCAGGTGAGATGAGGTGAGATGAGCTGAATGTGTGATGGTATTAGACGATGGAGATTATCAGGTGGATAAGATGAGAGGTGACGGGAATGGTGAGTTGAATGAGGTGAGAAAGATGAAAGGTTAGGTGAGGTAATAAAAGGTGAGACGATGTGATTATGAGGTTACAAAAGGTAAGACGAGGTGAGGATTGTGTTGAAGAGGTGAGGCAAGGGTCGTGCTGAAGATGTAATAATACAGGTGAGATAATGAGGTTAAGACGAGGTGAGGATTGTGTTGAAGATGTGAGGTAATAATACAGGTGAGATAATGAGGTTAAGACGAGGTGAGCAAGGTACTGATGAGGTGAGGTAATAATAATACAGGTGAGATAATGAGGTTAAGACGAGGTGAGCAAGGTGCTGATGAGGTGAGGTAACAAGGTAAGACGAGGTGAGGATTGTGTTGAAGAGGTGAGGTAATAATAATACAGGTGAGATAATGAGGTTAAGACGAGGTGAGGATTGTGTTGAAGATGTGAGGTAATAATACAGGTGAGATAATGAGGTTAAGACGAGGTGAGCAAGGTACTGATGAGGTGAGGTATTAATAATACAGGTGAGATAATGAGGTTAAGACGAGGTGAGGATTGTGTTGAAGAGGTGAGGTAATAATACAGGTGAGATAATGAGGTTAAGACGAGGTGAGCAAGGTACTGATGAGGTGAGGTAATAATAATACAGGTGAGATAATGAGGTTAAGACGAGGCGAGCAAGGTGCTGATGAGGTGAGGTAACAAGGTAAGACGGGGAGTTGAGGAACATTTTAAAGAGGTGGACGGGTGATGTAATGACATAAGACGAGGTGAGTAAAGTGCTGACGAGGTGAAGAAATCTGTGACGAGGCGAATCGGACAAATCGAGGAGGCGGAGGAGGGGGCGGAGGGGGAGGGGGAGGCGGAGGAGGAGGGGGAAGAGGAGGAGGCGGCGCCATCGCCGTCGCCGCCTCCTTAACTGGGGCAAAGGTGAGGGGGGACAGTGCCGGCTCTGTCTCCTCGCTGCTGCTGCTGCTGTCTCCTCGCTGCTGCTGCCTCTTGTCGTCCCTCCGTCGTTCTCTCTCTCTCCCTCTGTGTCTCCTCTCTCTCCCTCTGTGTCTCCTCTCTCGCCCTCTGTGTCTCCTCTCTCTCTCCCTCTGTGTCTCCTCTCTTTCTCGCCCTCTGTGTCTCCTCTCTCTCCTGCCACTGCGAGACGTTCCTTGTCTGACGCCTCGCTCGTCTCCACCTTTACCCCGTCCCGTGGCTGTCTCCCCGCTGTCTCCCTCGCGTCCCCTGCGGCCTCTTGTCCCCCGTCCCCCCCCTGTTGTCTCTCGTCTCTTGTCCCCCCCTGTTGTCTCTCGTCTCTTGTCTCTTGTCCCCCCCTACTGCTGTCTCTCGCGTCTTGTCATGGCCGAACAGCAGCGAATCAGCCCCGTGAAGAACTTCTTCGCCGGCGGCTTCGGCGGCGTCTGCCTCGTGTTCGCCGGGCACCCCCTCGACACCATCAAGGTACCCCCCCCCCCCCGGGGGTGAGGGGGTCACAGCGGGATCTAGGGGGTTCGGAGGGATACGGGAAGGTCACGGGGGTAGAGGGATGCGGGGTTGCAGGGGATGTGTAGGTTATCGGGGCGCGAAGGGGGTTTGTAGGGGTTAAGGGGTCGAGGATTTCCAGGGGGGGGGGGTGCATGGGGGTAGCAAGGGGATAGGAGGAGGTGGAGGGGACTTGCAGGTGGAGGGGTCTTGCAGGTGGTACGGGGACGAGGTTCAGGGGCTGCGGGTGGGATGGGGGACGTAGAGTGCGGGGGGTGCCCGTGGGGGGTGCCCGTGGGGGTGCCCGTGGGGGTGCAGGCCACCACACGCGAGGAGGTCGTGCGGGCTGGGGGGGTACAGGGGGCAACTTGCCGTACAGGGGGTAACTTGCCGTACGGGGGGTAACTCGCGTAGTGGTGGCGACAGGGGTTTAGGGATCGAGGGGATACCCTGGCGGGGGGTAGAGAGGCCGAGTTGGTGATGTCTAACCCGGGCAGCTCCGCCTTGCCCCTCGCGGTGTTCTTCATCGCCCCAAGCGGAATCATTTGCCGCCGTTCAACACGGCGCAACGTGTACACAACGCACGCGTGTGTGTGTGCTGTGTGTGTGTGCTGTGTGTGTGTGTGCTGTGTGTGTGTGCTGTGTCTGTGCTGTGCTGTGTGTGCTGTGTCTGTGCTGTGCTGTGTGCTACACGTGTGTGTGCTGTGCTGTGTGTGTGTGCGCTGTGTGTGTGTGCTGTGTGTGTGCTGTGTGTGTATGCTGTCTGCTGTGTGTGTGTCTGCTGTGTGTGTACTGTGTCTGTGCTGTGTGTGTGTGCTGTGTGTGTGCTGTGTCTGTGTGTGCTGTGTGTGTGTATGCTGTCTGTTGTGTATGCTGTGTGTCTGTGCTGTGTGTGTTGTGTGTGTGCTGTGTCTGTGTGTGTGCTGTGTGTGTGCTGTGTAGACATACAGCACACGAGATACGGGGGGGGTGGGGGTTTAATGCGCCAGGGCCTCACGGGCTACGGCTGACCCCGGCCCCTCACTTTCATTTCACAGCCCTCTGGCGCCCACGCGTGGCCTTCATGAGAACTTTTTATTGTTGCTGCTGCTGCTGCCAGTATCAAAGTTAAGAGAAATATGAGAAATACGAATAGTTGTTTAGTCCTTTATGGCAATACAACAGGGGGGTGTTCAGATGTTCAAACACCAAACAAGTCGCTTCGGCAAAGGAATACAAGACTGTGCTAACCGCACGTACTTGTGGTGAACATGCAACAAACATGCTCTGATAATTAATAATCGATGCATTGTCTTTGAAACGTGTCTCAAGAAGGCTGTCTCAGGTGTAGACCTAACCGTTTCAAAGACGATGCATATATTATCAGAGTTTGTTTCAATGTTCATCACAAGTACGTGTGGCTCATGCAGACTTGATCCCTTGCGAAAGGTTTATATTTGGTGTTTGAACATCTTAACACCTCCTGTTCAATTGCTAGAAAGGGTCAAACCTATTATTAATTTCGCACGTGTCCTTTAACCACTGTGTGAAATGGACCGCAAGCCACATTTATATGTGGAAATGTTAGTGAAAAAACAGCAGGCAAATGCCATTGCATTCAGGGGATTTGTAATATTTAACTTTGTTACATTGTTTTCAAATATGCGCGATACGCGTGGTGTAGTTGCTTTTGTACTGATTTCTATTCACTTCACTGCTCTACTTAATTTGCTTCGCTTTTGTTATTTTGCCCTTTTGGTGGCCCAGGTGTCACTTGCAAAAATTTACTCTATCCATCCTGGCCTTTTTGAGTTCTCGTGCCAGGCCAAACAAAATAATCCTGGCATTTTAAAACTTAAAGGTGAGCCGTAATTATTGCATTAAATAAGGCTCAGGTGTACGTGTGTTGATGCGTTTGCCTGTCTCCCCGTAACGTTTATATGGAAGCCCGATTCTGCATCCACCGGCTTTGGGAGTTGGGTCACAGTGTTATCAGTCACGGGGACTGGGGCTATGGCATTAGGATTTAGGGTTATAGGACTGGCATGATATGGACGTGGTTCAGGCTGGGTCAGTGTTACTGGTGTATGGTTACAGCTGTAGGGCAAAGGTTAAGGGTGTGGGGTGTAGTGGTATGATGCAGTATTCTGGTTTGGCATTACCTATATTGCACTGCAGCCGATGTTGTGTGGTTGTTTGTGTGATGATTGTGGTGTGGTTGTTGTCATTTTTTTTTACCTCGTTGGTGTTGTACCTCACTGTCCTTATTGTGCAATTTAAGTTACGACGCTTTCATTACATTGCAGTTATTTTTGCTCAAAATAACATATGTTGTGCTCCATTTGGACGAATCCATTGACTCGCTATCAATAACATGCACCTCACTTGACTTGGGCTACTGCAAGTGACCTGCTATCACTAATGTGGGTGTCCGTGCGGGCGCTGTGCGTGACCCCACAG